ATAGCTTTCAACCATATACTTTTCAACCAGAGACTCTTTACCCAGAATATCTTCTTGCACATACTTTTCACCTCATACTTTTCACCCAGAGACTCTTCACCCAGAAACTCTTCTTGCACATACTTTTCACCCAGAAACTCTTCTTTCACATACTTTTCACCCATATACTTTTCACCCAGAGACTCTTCACCCAGAAACTCTTCTTGCACATACTTTTCACCCATATACTTTTCACCCAGAGACTCTTCACCCAGAAACTCTTCTTGCACATACTTTTCCCCCATATACTTTTCACCCAGAGACTCTTCACCCAGAAACTCTTCTTGCACATACTTTTCACCCATATACTTTTCACCCACAGACTCTTCACCTAGAAACTCTTCTTGCACATACTTTTCACCCACATACTTTTCACCCAGAGACTCTTCAGCTAGAAACTCTTCTTGCACATACTTTTCACCCATATACTTTTCACCCACAGACACTTCACCCAGAAACTCTTCTTGCACATACTTTTCACCCATATACTTTTCACCCAGAGACTCTTCACCCAGAAACTCTTCTTGCACATACTTTTCACCCATATACTTTTCACCCACAGACTCTTCACCTAGAAACTCTTCTTGCACATACTTTTCACCCACATACTTTTCACCCAGAGACTCTTCAGCTAGAAACTCTTCTTGCACATACTTTTCACCCATATACTTTTCACCCACAGACACTTCACCCAGAAACTCTTCTTGCACACACTTTTCCCCCAGAGACTCTTCACCCGTCGGAAAAGCCGCGATGCAGCTCGATTGGATCTGGCAAATCAACCTCCGCAGGTACCCAAAAACAACCTGCTAACCAGTGGAAAGATCCACCATTTTTAATAGGTAAATCCACTATAAATCACCATGTTCAATAGCTTTTTGTATGTTCACCAGTGGAAAGTTAACGCGCTTGGATGAAGTTAAAATGTCACAAACAGATAGCTTAGTGCTAGTAGCTGCTAGACGCCAAAACCGATCTACCGCCGATCCGCAATGTCCCATTTCATGGGCTAACAACATGGTGGATTCTTGCGATTTTTTTTTTTTGCACGATATCCTCGGGAGTGTGAAGAACTGCGTGGGCCAGTGACTAAAATCACTGGAAAAAATACTGGAAATGCGTGGGCATTTGCCTTTCTGGTTGGTGGTATACCTACCCCCCTGAAAAATATGAAAGTCAATTGGGATGAGGACATTCCCAATATATGGAAAAATAAAAAAATGTTGCAAACCACCAACCAGCTATTAGTTGTGAAAATGAAGGATGCTTACTAAGTACGGGTACGAGTACCTCATAATTCATCCCAAGTATCGATTCTGAGAGATCAAATGTAGTATCCAAAAAGATAACCTGAACCAATGTGTGAAGAGCATGGGCTATTCGGCAATGTCATGTGCAGAAATATGTTAAAACATCGTTTCTCTAGATGTTCAACAGAAGGAAAAGAACTCCTCCACATTGTTCGAAAAACCTGCGAAACGCTTCGTTCTCAAAGACATGGTGAACTCCCCAACTTTTCCAGAGGACTTCATTGTGTTACCGCTGGGCCAGCGTGTGTTCGGGCTGGTCACCTACGTCATGATCATCATGGTTTCATTTGATGTTCTGGGCATCAAACAAATCCAAAGAAATGGCTGCCCAGTGATGGCCAGTGGATTTGCCTATTTGATCCGACTCATGTCACGTCACGATATGTCACGATCCACTGGCGTCCACGTCTCTGACAAATTTAGCATCCTTTTCTCTGTCAAATTATTTGTCAAATTTCAGCACTGGACAGCCCAAAAAAAAATGTTTTTAAGTTGAGAGTCATATGTCGCTGGATTGAGCTGTCCAATTATGTCAAAAAATCCAGCCATTTGTTCGCCAAACTGATTCATGATATTTTCTCAACTTCATGGTGGAAAATCTCCCCTTCCTTCCAGGCTTTCCCATAACTCCTTGTGAGTTAAAATCCTGGCACCTGGATGGTACTCTAAGATAGATGCTGTATGTTCATTCCCCCAGTCATATGGCAATCATACTGTGGTTAAGGAATATGGCATATATGGTTTTTGGGAATCCTGCACCAGTTGCGCAGGATGGTTTATCCCAGTATGATCCTATTATCCCACAGGGTTTCATATGCTTCATACAGTAAATGGACAAAATCAAACCCTATAGACGCCCACCAAATAAAACCCCAGGCTCCAAAATTCAATGTTGCACAAAGCTCCAAAAATAGTTTCCTCTGCGTTTGGGTTTGATTTTTGTTGTCCACCGGCCCCAAGCGCACAGCCCAAAGGCAACATTGAAATTGGGGCTGGGGCGACAACAATACGGCAGGGGTTTGATTTCGTCCATCTAGGTACAGTAGTTACCAATACCAACTGGTAATTTAACAGGTCGCTATTGAAGCCATGGCCCAGTCGAAAAATAGTGGATTTACCCATTGTTTCAATGGTGGATCTTCCCAGTTCGTTATGTAAAAGTTTACTGGTGCAGGATGGTCCATCCACGGTACCCATGCCCATCCCCTGGCCTTTAGCTTAGCGGAAAGGTTCACCGCCTTCCCGCGCCGCGGTGAGGCAAGTGAGCCGATAAAACGCGTTCCGACCTGTGTCCAGGACCTGGATCAATGGCCCTGAGACAAGTGACATGAAGTGACGCAAAGTGGGGAAATTTGCTGAAAGTGGACCCAGTATAGAGGTGATATGTCTATCTATATATATATATATGCATGTATCAATTCATATCGGTATATATGATAAGACACTTCCCCCTAGTGACAATCATTTTGCTACAAGATAGGTAAAACCAACCCTGCAGCACTTGCACAATACCGCAATACCTGACTTCGTTTGGTTCTACATGATGGGCGATCTTTAGGCTAAATCAATGACATGGACAATCTGGTTTCTCATAGAGATCTGGGTTGGTCTGAAAATCGTATACACGAATCCAAACCCTCATGTTGGGTAGGTATCATGATCATCGTCCCATCTTTCACCATTTGGGGCATCCTCCACTACAATGAACCCATGACACCATGACAAACCTGGCTGAAAGTGGCATCGCTTTTGACCGCACCAAATCAGTGTACTGAATGCCATCCTTGATCATGCAGCCATGGTCACAGAATGCTGTTTCAAAGCCAAGTGGGGCGATTTCTTGGACGTACACCGATCCGAAATTGGATGTATAGAGGTACTTACCCTCTGGTACACTAACATAGCTATGGAAAATTACCATGGCCATTTTCAAAAAACTATGTTAAATTACCAAAGGGTAAAGGCATGGATCTCCATATTGACATTTTGCTGGTTTCAAGATGTTCCAAGCCCCACAAAACAAGTCGATTGGGTAGGTTTCTCCCACTGCTAGGGATGGAAATCGATAAAAGCATATTCAAGTAAGTCTCCAGCATTCGGGGATACATATATGTCTATAGATGTATATAATCAACTAATCAATTCAATATATCATATACAAGTACGTATTATTATGAGGAAACAAAACATGGTTGGTTCATCTCCTGCTGTGGTGACATCTGTTTAATTTTTCCAGCAGTTGCAGGGAGATCACGACAAACCAATATGAGACTGTCTGAAAATGGTATATACCCCCCCAAAAAAAATGACATGTGGGAAACTGCTGATAATCCGTTGGAATTGGGTGACCCACGTTTCAGACAGACCCATATGGGTGGGATGTTACCTTTTGATGCCTTTTGAATTTTCCCACATCGACGTGTTGCGCTCCCATCACCCAGCACTCCATGAGCTCATCATGATCATGGCAGAAAGACTGCGCCAACGGTCGCTGGAACTTCACCGAGCCGGAAGAGAGAGATAGCCATGGGCTTCAGTGGGTTATAGTGGTCTGTATCGAGTGTTGTGGAATGCTGAAGAGAGAGATTGATGTTTTTTCTAAAAATGCATGGATATTCACAAACTCACGCCAATGTTTTGCATTGTTTTGCTGGTTTAGCTAAGTTTAGCTGGACATTCATCCCCCAAAAGATCGTGAAACATCGTGGGAAATTGGATTCCATCCAGCACAACCGGATTTCCAGGCGTCTCCTCTTCCGGGCGTCATACACACGACACATCCATCATCCAGTTCTGTGGGGGTCACTGGATGTGTCGCAACCCATACCCTCTAGCTGTAATCAAACATGGCTGGAAAATCCCATGTAGCCAGGTGCACCCATGGCTTGGCCACGCAGATTTCCCAACTTGCCATGTTGGCTCATCGTTGTGCTCTCAGATGAGTTTTCCAGGGCTCTTCTGCCTCACGGAGAATGCGGGTGGGCGACACTGGGATCATTAAAGGCTACCCATTCAACTCGTTTCTTGGTTGCTTAATCCAATGAAATATATGGATGCATGATGATACATGTGTGCTCATGGGTATGGGCAACAGTTCAGCTTTTGTACCAGCTGGCAGGAAAGCGAATTGTTCAGCTCTTTTTTCGAAACCATTTCTGCTCGGTCGTTTTGATCTGGCAAGATGTCTTTGACATCAAATAAAGGTTGCAAGGGTAATGGCATTGAACTCAGTCATGAGTCATGGCTCCAAGAAGACACATCTACTTCGGTGTAAGCATAGCCCTTTTTTTCGAGCCATGCCACCTCGGCTTTCTGCGAATTCCCAAGACCTTCTGATGCTTCCATGAAGCTGCGGTCCTCCTCTGAAAGTGAGGACAAGAAGAGCCGTTGCACCTCCCGTGAGTATTGGGACGTGGAGTCTCCTCTGGGGTCCTTTTGAAGATGCTCAAGATCGTCTTTGAGCGCAAGAAAACCTTGCGACTTCATGAAGTCCTTCTTTTGGCCTGAAATAGCGTCACGTCTCAGGTGCTCCTTTCCAGCAGTCAGGAAATGGTTCACTTTCCCTTTGCCCACCATCCCTTTGAAATAATAGACTTCTAGTTCGGCACCTTTAGCAACAGCTTTCTCGATGTTTTCCATCCATTTTGTCCACCACCGGCACCCCCACCCCATACAAGGGAACACACCAGCAACTGCCCTCAAGGCCTTCCGCCAGTGGGATTGGGTCATGGTGGCCGAAGTGCTCTGAACCCTCCGGCAAAAAGACCACTGCAGCGCTGACATAGCCCCTGCGACTTCCTTGGACCAAAGAATCCCAAGCGGACTCGTACTTCCCAGGCCATGAGGCAACACAAGGGCCCCCTCCTTCAAGCACCGAGCCACGGAAAACGATGGTCCGTTCGGCCGCGTTGCGCTTAAACACGGAGGCAATGGGGGGATCCCTGCCAATACGAAGAATGGCGGGATCCTCGCCCAAACAAGTGAAAGTCGAAGCGCAGTAGCATATTAGCCCAGGCATCAGCGCACTCCACCAGAAGCCTGCATGGATGTAACGAACAGCTGCTGCAGCCAGGCAAAGGAAACCAAGGAAAATCCACACCAAGGGACCAAGCTCTGCCAAGAATCTCGCTGTGGCAAAGTGAGAGGCCGCCTGAGAGGCCAAGTGTTGGAGTCCTACAAAGGTTCCTGCGCAACAACCAAACATGCAATAAAACATCAACATCACCGCCAAGCTCAACATCAATGCAGAGGCCCAATCCTGTGGCTCCACAGAGACGCAAAGCACAAGCAGCCCCGAGAAAAGCAGCCCGCAGAATGCGAGGATCGGCAAAGCTGCACACCATGTTTTGTCCTGTGCTCGTATCTCTTCTTCGATTACATGATTCATAGACTCCTTTCGCTCCTGCTGCAATTCACGCTCTCGATCCACCTCCAGCTGCTCCTTCTGCAGGAATTCAGCGACTTCGATGCCAAAAGACCCAAAGGACTCCGACGCGCGCAAGCTGCTCAAGCCAATAAAGACCAGGCAGGTGCCTGAGATGCTTGCATCATCTCGCAAGCTAACCTGCATCACCATCTCTGACGTGGTGTCAAAAAACTTGTGGTCACTGGGGTAAATCACACTTACTTCTCCAGAGAATTTCACTTCTATTGCTGCTTTAAGGTCATTCTCAAGCACCACCGAGCCAGCTTGACTCTTCTCTGCATGCCTTTTGGCATCAGACTCGTGAGCGCTTCCCGGCTCCTCCGAACCTTCCGCATCTTGCACAAGCTTTTGATAGCCTGTCACTTGAACTCGTCCAGTGACTAGTGGAGACACCATGCTTCCACGCAGTTCCATGGCCATCGCCAACACTTGGAGAGTATAAACAAAACAGAGGGTCCCTTGAAGTGAAGATGCGCCAGTGGTGCGATGTGACCATGCCTCCCATTTCAATGTGATCGAACAGTTCTGAAAAGCTGGAATTTAATCAAACATAATCAAGCCAGTTGAGCATTATCCATCCCCGTTTTGAATCCATCCAATTTGTAATGGTCACTGATTAGCCCTCTTCAGACCCAGTACAGAATGGTCGGGACTGGAGAGTAGCAAAACCCCAAAACCGATAGAAAACATCGGGCCAGGGTGGGGTACCCTTACAATATGGCTTCACGCAAGGTCTTAACTTTTTGCACAAAATGGCACTAACAAAAACCATTCTGTAACAAAAACTTCAACGGGGATAATCTTGGCTTTATGGCCTCACTGCCGTGTTGGTTACACTGTGCCCTTTTACAGCCCCCGATTAACGCCAAGCCTAACCCATGAACCAGCCCGTTGGTCACTATAATTGATGTAAATGGAAGATAATTTATCTACCTCAGGAAGGTTGTGTATTAAGGGTTGTAGGGCCAAAGTAGCCCTTTCGATATCCACAAGTTGTATCTGCTTAGTGCGCAAGGTAGACAGGGAACATGCAACCTGTCGCAAATGATTCTCAAACTGGTGGTCTTGCCACCTGCAATGCTTGTCATTTGGATCTTTTCAGAACGGAAAACCAGCAAATAAAATTGTCTGAGCCTAAAATCACCAGGTTTTTGTGGCATCGCTCTGATCACGACTTGACCCATACCCCCTTTGTGCCACCTGGACCACGCGTTCGCGGCGTTCGCGCGAAGAACGATTTTGGTTTTGAGAGTGTGGCTCCTGAATGGTCTGGTGGGCGGTCAATACTTATCTCGGAAATCTTGAGGTAAATTTGGCACACCATCCCAGTAGTAGGCTTTAAAAATATGTTAAGAACAAACAAAATGATGACAACAACCATCTACTGGTACTAAAATCCGTGAAAACCCAAAAAACCTGAAGGATTGGAAAAAGACCCATGAGATCAGACAACGATCCCAAAAGCAACTGGTGATGATAACTAGAATCACCAATTATGACATGGTAAACAAACAACTATGGAACATCACCATTTTTAGTTGGTAAATTTATGACATGGTTTCCTACCCAGTTGTTTTGTGTTTTTTTCCTTGCTGGTTGAGCCAACATGTTCGCTACTTAGATTCGGAATGTTGCTGGTCAAATATGGTTACACTGCCAAAATCGCTGCTTGAATCATCTGGGTGGTGGTTTCGACTGGTTGCAACGTGGTTCAAAACATCCCAAAGAACATAGGTCAATTAGGTTCATCCAATGATGCTCCCCAATTCAATTATTGATTCCCATAGTTTTTGGTTCAATTGCAAACGGAAACTGCACATCAGCAACTTTTTGCTGGTTCAAGCCGTATTCTAGGTGTTGGTGAAATCACCTATAGTAACAGTTCTTCTATTGGTGAGATGCTCACATGTGCGGGTTGCATAAGTTGAATTCCCAAGTTTTCTTAAGGACAAAAAATTGTGTTTGACATTTGGTATCGTCCCAGGTATGGAACGTTTAAAAAAATATCTGAAACCACTCCCCTGACCTTCTCGGTGTTGGAGAATTTTGACGACTTTGATTTGAGAAACTAGAATCTACTTGGAGGCTTCCTGAAATGGGGGCACCCCAAAATGGATGGTTTATAAAGAACAATCCCAAACAAAAATGGATGATTTAGAGGTACCCCCATCTCAGGAAATGCCCACTTGACTGCTGAGTTGTCTCACGTTCAAATCCGACTCTGGAAATCGTCCAGCTAATCATACTGTGGATGGTTTTGCAGAATCCTGCAGTTGCGCAGGATGGTTAATCCCAGTATCCCATCATTTACGGGCTTTAGCTACCAAAGGTCGTTATGTAAAAGTTTACCAGAGGGTAAACCTCCATTTTCCTATGGTTTTCCCATGGTTTTCCTATGGTTTTCCCATGGTTTTCCTATGGTTTTCCCATGGTTTTCCTATGGTTTTCCCATGGTTTTCCTATGGTTTTCCCATGGTTTTCCTATGGTTTTCCCATGGTTTTCCTATGGTTTTCCCATGGTTTTCCCATGGTTTTCCTATGGTTTTCCCATGGTTCCCATGGTTTTCCAATGGTTTTCCTATGGTTTTCCCATGGTTTTCCCATGGTTTTCCTATGGTTTTCCCATTGTTTTCCCATGGTTTTCCTACCATGGTTTTCCCATGGTTTTCCCATGTTTTTCCATGGTTTTCCCATGGTTTTTTCCCATGGTTTTTTCCTTTTTCCCATGGTTTCCCCATGGTTTTCCTATGGTTTTCCCATGGTTTTCCCATGGTTTTCCCATGGTTTTCCCATGGTTTTTCCCATGGTTTTCCCATGGTTTTCCTATGGTTTTCTGGTGTTTTCCATGGTTTTCCATGGTTTTCACCATGGTTTTTCCATGGTTTTCCCATGGTTTTCCATGGTTTTCCCATGGTTTTCCCATGGTTTTCCATTGGTTTTCCATGGTTTTCCCCATGGTTTCCTCATGGTTTTCCCATGGTTTTCCCATGGTTTTCCTATGGTTTTCCCATGGTTTTCCCATGGTTTTCCCATGGTTTTCCTATGGTTTTCCCATGGTTTTCCCATGGTTTTCCCATGGTTTTCCCATTAAAACCTCCATTTTCCATCCACGGTACCCATCCCCTGGCCTAAAAAGCTTAGCGGTTTTAGGTTCACCGCCTTGAGCCGATGGTGAGCCGAGTGGGCCGATGGCGGTGCCACGCGGCGTTCCGACCGTCCAGGACCTGGATCGGCCCTGAGACAAGTGACATGAAGTGATACGAGAGAGGAAATTGGCTGAAAGTGGACCCAGTATAGAGGTGATATGTATATATATATACACATATGTGTATATATATATATATATACATGCATGTATCAAATCATATCGGTATTTATGATAAGACACTTCCCCCTAGTGGCAATCATTTTACTACAAGATTGGTAAAACATTGTAAAACCAACTCTGCAGCACTTGCACAATACCGCAATACCTGACTTCGTTTGGTTCTACATGATGGGCGATCTTTGGGCTAAATCAATGACATGGACAATCTGGTTTCTCATAGAGATCTGGGGTTGTCTGAAAATCGTATACACGAATCCAAACCCTCATGTTTCTTGGGTAGGTATCATGAACATCGTCCCATCTTTCACCATTTGGGGCATCCTCCACTACAATGAACCCATGACACCATGACAAACCTGGCTCGCATTCCAATGGTCTATGGTTCAAAATCAGAAATCGATAGAAATCGAACACCCACTATAGCTGGTTGATGCGTGTGATACTCCTCCCCTTCCCTCCTTCCCTGTTTCCCTTTTCCAGATTGAAACATCTCGGCCAGAGATCCTCCGAACTTGGCGACATGCCGCACTCGGCATGCTCAACTTGGCTCGAGCCGATCACGTCACACAGAGTTTTTGCCTCCAAATCTCTGGACAGATTTGGCTTCGAAGTCTTCGAAGTCTTTGGCGCTGGAAATGGAGCGAAGCCTCTCACGAAGTGCAGACGCCGGAACTGCACCCAGTTCACTTCGGAACGGCACCCAGTTCACTTCAATCTTGTGCAGGTCGCAGCTGTCACGAGAAAAACAAGCAAGTAACGCCGCTCATGGCACCAGAGAAATGCTTCAGGTCACCATAAGTTGGGGTGATCAGTTTCAAAGTCCAGAAACAAATGTCGAACAAAGCTTTGTTGTCCAAGAAAGATTCGTTGGAGTTCTCCAGCTGGTGGAAGCTCACGAACGCCTTGGTCGCCGTTGTCAATTTTATCACAACAAATGACTGCCAAACGGTTGGGTTGAGTGAAGATCGTGAACGGCTGCTAGATCTACTCTTTATGTTTAAAATCGAAAAGAGTTCAATTCATAGGACTTAACTAGGGAAAACCGGGATATGATGTGGATTCAAGGAGGATCTAACCAGTTTTACCATACTTGGCGGTAAAGTTGGGGTTCAAACCATGGTAATTATGGATTCTAAGCGCCATAGATTGGAATATGGGGCCCCTATACCTATAACTATGGTTATATTTCCAATTACAACTGGAACTGCGCCTCCAAGGAAGGTAACATATCCGCCATCAATTAGTATCTTGGGGATTACCCTCCGGTAAACTAACATAACTATGGAAAATCACCATTTTTTATGGAAAAATCCACTATAAATGGCCATCTTCAATAGCATATGTTAGTTTACCAGAGGGTAGTTGTGGGAAAGTCATTCCTACCAGGGGATTTCTTGTGGGATCCTAAGGATTGCCCTCCACTGGGGACTATCTCGCGTTTTCATGGGCGGATTTCCAGTGGAGGTATGTACGAGTACCTTTTGAGAGTAACGGATCCTTTGCCTGGAACCACGATTTTCCCGAAGGCCACGTGCTCTGCGCAAAGCTTGAAGAGATCCTCATGGTAGAATTGGTTGCTGATCGAAAAATTGGATGATGCATTGGCCACCAAATGGAAGGAAACGGGAAACGCCTTGAACATGTACATTTCAATTTAAACAAGTTTGAAACATCGGTGTACAAATGCTGAAGTGAAGAAATACAGTAGTACTGTAAGTCATTTGCTGAAGCTATCCACACCCAACTGATCCAGATTGGTTTCTCTTGATTGATTTGGAACACGTTCAAAATCACAATTCGGATCGTCTGTTTCAAACGCCTGGTGCATGCTGGTGCTCTGTTTCATATCCCCCATGCCCCGAGGTGGAAAGCACTGGCACAATCCCCAACGACATTGTGGAGCCAACACATCTGACGATTACCAAAGGTACAACTCAGGGTCAAGTTCCGCCTTGAAATCCTTTAAGACCAGGTAGCATTAGGTAGCCAGTTAGTCAGGTGCCATTCGCTGCTTACTGGTGCTTAGTAGGTAATGGATGGGAATGGAGAATGGAATGATTGTTTGTAGTTGGTTATGGATCATTCCCTCATTCCCCGCTAAGCACCATTAAGGCTGCCAATATGTCTTCCTTATTCCAAGATTCTGACTTGATGGTGCATTCAAAGTGGGTGTCCCTTCCCTCCATGATCTTGCGCCGCAGGCAGCGGTATGCCGTCTCTCTCCAGGGGGAAGAAGCATGCCTGGCACAGCTGGTGAGTTGTCCAACCCAACTCAACTCTGGCAGTGTCAATCCCTCTGAAAAAACGATCAAGTCGACAATAGAAAGCATTTCAAGCCACCAACCGGAACTACTTCCATTGATGAAAGTGGATCCAAATCCGAAAAATACTGAAAATCCAAGCTACAAATTTTCCTGAGATCCCCACGGCCCAACCCTCCCATCCCCACCCCACCTGAAGGCGATGGCCCCCCGTTTCCGCAGGGGGCTCAGGGGTTGCCGTGCGCTTGGCTGCGAAGGTGAGGTGTGCGTTGGTGCCAGCAAAGCCGAAGGAGGAGAGGCCTCCACTGGCTGAGTCTGGAGCAGTGGAGCTGGGACCTACCAAGGGAAATGCTAAGGGAAAATTGGGACTTAACTAGGGAAAACCGGGATATGATGTGGATTCAAGGAGGATCTAACCAGTTTTACCATACTTGGCGGTAAAGTTGGGGTTCAAACCATGGTAATTATGGATTCTAAGCGCCATAGATTGGAATATGGGGCCCCTATACCTATAACTATGGTTATATTTCCAATTACAACTGGAACTGCGCCTCCAAGGAAGGTAACATATCCGCCATCAATTAGTATCTTGGGGATTACCCTCCGGTAAACTAACATAACTATGGAAAATCACCATTTTTTATGGGAAAATCCACTATAAATGGCCATCTTCAATAGCATATGTTAGTTTACCAGAGGGTAGTTGTGGGAAAGTCATTCCTACCAGGGGATTTCTTGTGGGATCCTAAGGATTGCCCTCCACTGGGGACTATCTCGCGTTTTCATGGGCGGATTTCCAGTGGAGGTATGTACGAGTACCTTTTGAGAGTAACGGATCCTTTGCCTGGAACCACGATTTTCCCGAAGGCCACGTGCTCTGCGCAAAGCTTGAAGAGATCCTCATGGTAGAATTGGTTGCTGATCGAAAAATTGGATGATGCATTGGCCACCAAATGGAAGGAAACGGGAAACGCCTTGAACATGTACATTTCAATTTAAACAAGTTTGAAACATCGGTGTACAAATGCTGAAGTGAAGAAATACAGTAGTACTGTAAGTCATTTGCTGAAGCTATCCACACCCAACTGATCCAGATTGGTTTCTCTTGATTGATTTGGAACACGTTCAAAATCACAATTCGGATCGTCTGTTTCAAACGCCTGGTGCATGCTGGTGCTCTGTTTCATATCCCCCATGCCCCGAGGTGGAAAGCACTGGCACAATCCCCAACGACATTGTGGAGCCAACACATCTGACGATTACCAAAGGTACAACTCAGGGTCAAGTTCCGCCTTGAAATCCTTTAAGACCAGGTAGCATTAGGTAGCCAGTTAGTCAGGTGCCATTCGCTGCTTACTGGTGCTTAGTAGGTAATGGATGGGAATGGAGAATGGAATGATTGTTTGTAGTTGGTTATGGATCATTCCCTCATTCCCCGCTAAGCACCATTAAGGCTGCCAATATGTCTTCCTTATTCCAAGATTCTGACTTGATGGTGCATTCAAAGTGGGTGTCCCTTCCCTCCATGATCTTGCGCCGCAGGCAGCGGTATGCCGTCTCTCTCCAGGGGGAAGAAGCATGCCTGGCACAGCTGGTGAGTTGTCCAACCCAACTCAACTCTGGCAGTGTCAATCCCTCTGAAAAAACGATCAAGTCGACAATAGAAAGCATTTCAAGCCACCAACCGGAACTACTTCCATTGATGAAAGTGGATCCAAATCCGAAAAATACTGAAAATCCAAGCTACAAATTTTCCTGAGATCCCCACGGCCCAACCCTCCCATCCCCACCCCACCTGAAGGCGATGGCCCCCGTTTCCGCAGGGGGCTCAGGGGTTGCCGTGCGCTTGGCTGCGAAGGTGAGGTGTGCGTTGGTGCCACCAAAGCCGAAGGAGGAGAGGCCTCCACTGGCTGAGTCTGGAGCAGTGGAGCTGGGACCTACCAAGGGAAATGCTAAGGGAAAATTGGGACTTAACTAGGGAAAACCGGGATATGATGTGGATTCAAGGAGGATCTAACCAGTTTTACCATACTTGGCGGTAAAGTTGGGGTTCAAACCATGGTAATTATGGATTCTAAGCGCCATAGATTGGAATATGGGGGCCCCTATACCTATAACTATGGTTATATTTCCAATTACAACTGGAACTGCGCCTCCAAGTAAGGTAACATATCCGCCATCAATAGTATCTTGGGGATTACCCTCTGGTAAACTAACATAACTATGGAAAATCACCATTCTTTATGGGAAAATCCACTATAAATGGCCATTTTCAATAGCATATGTTAGTTTACCAGAGGGTAGTTGTGGGAAAGTCATTCCTACCAGGGGATTTCTTGTGGGATCCTAAGGATTGCCCTCCACTGGGGACTATCTCGCGTTTTCATGGGCGGATTTCCAGTGGAGGTATGTACGAGTACCTTTTGAGAGTAACGGATCCTTTGCCTGGAACCACGATTTTCCCGAAGGCCACGTGCTCTGCGCAAAGCTTGAAGAGATCCTCATGGTAGAATTGGTTGCTGATCGAAAAATTGGATGATGCATTGGCCACCAAATGGAAGGAAACGGGAAACGCCTTGAACATGTACATTTCAATTTAAACAAGTTTGAAACATCGGTGTACAAATGCTGAAGTGAAGAAATACAGTAGTACTGTAAGTCATTTGCTGAAGCTATCCACACCCAACTGATCCAGATTGGTTTCTCTTGATTGATTTGGAACACGTTCAAAATCACAATTCGGATCGTCTGTTTCAAACGCCTGGTGCATGCTGGTGCTCTGTTTCATATCCCCCATGCCCCGAGGTGGAAAGCACTGGCACAATCCCCAACGACATTGTGGAGCCAACACATCTGACGATTACCAAAGGTACAACTCAGGGTCAAGTTCCGCCTTGAAATCCTTTAAGACCAGGTAGCATTAGGTAGCCAGTTAGTCAGGTGCCATTCGCTGCTTACTGGTGCTTAGTAGGTAATGGATGGGAATGGAGAATGGAATGATTGTTTGTAGTTGGTTATGGATCATTCCCTCATTCCCCGCTAAGCACCATTAAGGCTGCCAATATGTCTTCCTTATTCCAAGATTCTGACTTGATGGTGCATTCAAAGTGGGTGTCCCTTCCCTCCATGATCTTGCGCCGCAGGCAGCGGTATGCCGTCTCTCTCCAGGGGGAAGAAGCATGCCTGGCACAGCTGGTGAGTTGTCCAACCCAACTCAACTCTGGCAGTGTCAATCCCTCTGAAAAAACGATCAAGTCGACAATAGAAAGCATTTCAAGCCACCAACCGGAACTACTTCCATTGATGAAAGTGGATCCAAATCCGAAAAATACTGAAAATCCAAGCTACAAATTTTCCTGAGATCCCCACGGCCCAACCCTCCCATCCCCACCCCACCTGAAGGCGATGGCCCCCGTTTCCGCAGAGGGCTCAGGGGTTGCCGTGCGCTTGGCTGCGAAGGTGAGGTGTGCGTTGGTGCCACCAAAGCCGAAGGAGGAGAGGCCTCCACTGGCTGAGTCTGGAGCAGTGGAGCTGGGACCTACCAAGGGAAATGCTAAGGGAAAATTGGGACTTAACTAGGGAAAACCGGGATATGATGTGGATTCAAGGAGGATCTAACCAGTTTTGCCATACTTGGCGGTAAAGTTGGGGTTCAAACCATGGTAATTATGGATTCTAAGCGCCATAGATTGGAATATGGGGGCCCCTATACCTATAACTATGGTTATATTTCCAATTACAACTGGAACTGCGCCTCCAAGTAAGGTAACATATCCGCCATCAATTAGTATCTTGGGGATTACCCTCCGGTAAACTAACATAACTATGGAAAGATCCGTGGAACGCTTCCATCTTTTTGGGGGGACCTGCTAGTGGAATTGATGAATTCGATTTCAATCCGGCATCTCATCTGGGGAGACCACATTAGCAGTGTTCAAACTTTCTGTCCCTTGATACTGCTTGGTAGTAGGGATTTCCGTTCAGAGTGGATTGTGATCCCAATATCGGGTAGTATAGCCGCATAGCCCCCTAGAATCATCAATGAACAGAGGTTTAGCAGCCAGAGCCATGTTGTTTTTCTTCCAGCATCGACAGCAGCGCACCTAAACTATGCGCGGGGTTGCCTCGAAATGCAAGACTCAGGTGGCTCCCATTGTGATCATTATGTGTCTACAAGTCTACCAGGAAAATACTCAACCAACAGATTTGCATTCAAAAATCTTCAGCCGACCATTCCAACCACCTTGGAGTACCCAATGGCACCGAGTCCATGTGTTCGAGGCATCGTTTTCATCATTGCATCTTGGGCAATGACCCTGTGACCCAGTATTCATAAAGGATGAAACACGTGAGCCACGCCCAGTTACAAACCTGTGTCAAAGGCATTACCCCAAAGGTTCCAAGGGTGCTCATAGCAATCCCAAATAAGCCTGCTGGTATAACCCATCTACAGTACTCATGCAACCACGGCGTACTCGCTGGGCATTGCTGACGTGCACATCCTGCCTGAACAAGGTTTGATTGCAGGATACAACAAGAGATGCTAAAATGGCTCCTGGGATGGCAAATATCAACAAGAGATACTGAGAACCTACTAACAGGCACTTCAAAGGCCACGAATTTTGGGTTTCACAGGGTAGATCTAATTTCACTATGGTTAAATCGAGGGACAATTAATTTGTCACCATGCAGGGAGGAATTCACCGTGCATTGCTGCGCTTTCTGCGCTTTCCAATCAAGAAAGGTCTTCTGCCCTCTTGAGCTGCTTCAGAGAAGCCAGCACGCACACCAAGAGCAGCAGTGCGTAAAGGAAGAAGTCATTGATGAGCAATCCTGATCAAGGTGATGTATATATATACATAATCAGTATGTATACTATGCATATTGTGCATGTTATGCATATGCATATATTGAATTCTCTATGCCGTATTCCAGATTTGCCCTGAAAAAGTGTGGGAATTGACCCAAAAACTAAGATATGTGTGGGAATCCCAGGATAATTGACCCAAAGAAGGTTATTGATTTGCTGACCCCTCATGATGCTAGGGACCAGACATCCGTCATGACTTGGGTGCTGGCTCTCACTCTCGCCATCCCAGCCACTGTAAATCCCTGAAATAAACAATAGAATATCACCTGTGCTAAGTAACTCTTCAGAAATCTTTCCAAAAATGATCCCCCGTTGTGATGATGAAGGATCTGTTCCAAGTATTGTTGTGATGTGAAGGCACAACTTTTTGCGTGGTTCGAGTGATGGATCCTCCAAAAACTTGGATTTGACGGGTCCCAAAAAAATAAAACACCTTCCCTTAATCGATTCCCTATTTCTCATGGGATGTCCTGGGAAATTTTCCCAAATCACCTTGGTTGGAAAACCACAACTCGCTCCTGCGGCTTCCATGGAATAGCTCAACTTCTTTGCCTCTTGCCACTTGCCACAGTTCACGTAGGCTCTGGCCTGGCCGGAAAAATCTCACCTGGGCCCCGATTTTCGTTTCGTAGCCCTTTAGAGGGAAGCATTTTCAAGAGGGAATGTGATGATAAACCATGGGATTTGGGGTGCATACCTTATGTTCGGCAATATGTACATGTATATAGATAATATATATATATAGAGAGAGAGATGTATCCTTTTATATCTTATACATATCATATCATATCATATCATATCATATCATATATATATACATAACATAACATAACATACTATATATTTGCCTGACAAACTCCGCACACAAAGCTCGATAATGTCAACCCTGGACTAATAAACCCCTAGGCTGTTTCATTGGGAGGGTACCATTTAAGTATCAGATTGGGCTTCTTGGAGGAGTACCCCCTTAACTATATAATAAACCATGGATTATTAATCCGCGGTTGACATTAAACATCTCACCTGATCTCGGCGCTGCCGCGGGCCAAGGGACGAGAGAAGTGTATGTGAAAATATTTGGCTGAATCCCACGCTGTTGCATCAAAGGAAACCTCGCCAGCCAGAAATCTGGCGTGAAGTCGGGGCCCATGATGGCCAATTAGGTCATCACCCTCAAGGAATCCATTAACCCAGCTTTGCGACCCAACAGCAGTAGCAGGTCAACAGCAGTTCCAGCTTCCAGGGTTCCAGAATTCTCTGATTTTGAGTGCTATGCATCCGTGATGCACCAGTCCAAATCCAGAGATTACAACCCAACAAGCAGTAACAAGCATTTTTGGGAATCTGGAGTTGCATACTCGTCCCCTGCGGGTATTTTCATGCTGTAGGGATTTAAGGACAGCCATGGAGGAGCTTCCAAGTCAGGAACTTTTTTAGGTGCGGGGGATTGAATCGTTCATTACATGGCAGAACAGATTCGGGGTAAATGTGTGACCTTTTCCATGAAGGTGTGGCGTTTTTTCGGGGATGACTGATTAGATCAATGAGGCGCTGAAAAGTGTCACTGTCGTTTCATGGCGAGGAACGGATGGAATGCCACGGCTCCCTTGTTGCCACAATCTGAACCCCAGTAGCGGGCGTCACGGACGTTCTCCGTATAATCAGGAATCGGAATAACCTAAGAGGCCATGAAACATCCGCCCTCAACCGGTAGTCAGATACGTACCCGGAGAAGTGACAGAGAAAAACTACAAAACTAGACGACAGATGGCCCGAGAGTGCAGAGGAGCATAAGTACTCAGGTGTATGTTAAACCTGTAAGATGAATAAACTATTGTGAGTACGTAAGAAGATACTGTATAATCAGGAAGATGGAAAAAAATATGATGAGAAACCGAATATATGTAGCTGGATATATGAATGTGCGAAGGATATGATCATAAAGATAAACACCAGCATAAGTGTTTTTACACACGCACACACACACATGCACAGGCACACACGCCGTTATTACGCTGTTACAACATGCTTTTACTCCATACTTCCATACACGCGTTTTCACACAAATGCTGCTTCACGCCAACACACACACACACACATACGCCTGTACACACACAAGCCTTTACACACATGTCTTACACATATGCGTTTACGTGCATGCTTTTCCACACATGCTGTTGCACACATGCAGCATACATATGCTTACACAGGCACCCTTACACGAACACTGTTAGGCATGCGCTTTTACACGAGCACTCTTGCACACGCGCGCTTTTACACAAACCCCTTCATCCACACATGTTGTGCCTATTTTCTGCGAAACGTCGTGCGAGAGAAGAAAAATCACAACCTTGCAGGAGTTTGCGAAAAGGTGATAATCACAATTGACCCCCGACCATCATGTGGTTCGAAAGGTTTGCGTATTGTGACTCGTCGGCACCAACTCCCGCCTTAAGAAAGAGAAAATATGAGAGACAGGGAGAGGCGGAAAAGAAAAGGAGAGAGAAAAAGGAGATAGAGAGGAGGGAGAGATAGAGAGAGAGAGAGAGAGAGCGAAGGAAGAGAGAGAGCGAGAGAGAGAGAGAGAAGATGTAAGAAGTGGAGGTGTAAGCTGTGAAGATGTAAGATATGCAGATATGCAGATGTAAGATGTGAAGATGTGAAGATGTGAAGATGTAAAATATATGCCTCACCTCATTTTTGTAAAGACCCCTGCGCTCAAACACTCTTGGGAAAAAGACGTAAAAATAGGCCCAATCGACCTAAAGCGGGCAGTTCTGCTTCCAAAGGGTTCATTTTCCTTCTGCACTAGACCGCGGCCAAATCTGCCGGCAATAGTTAAAAAGCAGAAATTGGCAACCAAGTCACTCCAAGCATCTTTAAGCATTCTTGCATGAACCTGCAACGAAATCTCAGAAGCGTTCGGCTCTTTGCATCAGCTACATCAGCTACATCATGGGTCCTACTGAAAAGGAGCGCCTGTCTTCTCCCCAGAAAGGAAGCGATTGCTCACAACGTCCATGCGCAGCTTGGTCTCCCAACACGGACTTGGCGACCTGTGACGCAAATCTTTGGATCCTTTCACAAAATGGATGAAAAAGCACTTTTCAACATATAGAGAGAGGTATAGATACTATATATATATATACATACATACATATACACACTTGTAATTAAATAATATACATTTATTTACACTTACTTATATAGAATTATACGTACACACTTACATGCACTTATGATATACATGATTATACACGCAAATCTGAAAAGTGCCTCGACAGCTCCGTACATGGCAGGAGCATGCACAGCGCAGTGAAAGAAGACGTTCCTGGAAGGCAGCACTTTCACAAGGCAACACCTTGACATCATTTGAGGATCAGTAGGATATGTGAGAATTGGCTAGTCCAAACGATGTCAAGGATTGTCAAGGTGCCACTAGACCAACAGAATGAATCTTTGCTCTCGCATGAAACACTTGCCCGTTGTCGTTGAGTTCACTCCTTTCAAGAGAAATTCTAAAGAAATAGTGAACTTGTGCACCTTTTCCTATTTCTTCCTTTGTCAAACTTACCCAAGAGGCAGAAGAGAATTGGTCAATGGCAACTAACAAAGCTCCGACAAGTTCGTCTGAGGGCAACATCCCTCCTGGTGTCTGGGCTAAGGCACAAAAAAAATTGCCGGAACGACCATATCCACACACCGAGAATATTCCACCACTTCATGCTGTACTGGCTCAACCCATCTTGAACAAATTCTAGTAGCCTACGAGCCAAGCAACTGTCCCACATGGGCGGCCACATGTCCCCTCGAACGTTCAGGGAAGAGAATGGCATCAGGGTCGACCTGCAAGTGTAGCAAAAGCAGTCACTGTCACAAAACACCAAGATACGCACAGGGCTTGCCAGGATCAGCCGGGCTTACAAGACATTGCACTGTCTTACTGTACTAGCAGTGCGACTAGCTGCTGGCTACTGCTAGCGTCTCGAAAAAAGATCCGCCCGCACCGAAGGTGCCGAGGCGTTTTTTCCAGGCACGCGTGATCCGTAAGCAATTGCAATAGCTAAATACTAAGCTTTGGCTTGGGGGGTAATAGGAAAACAAAAGACCAGCTCTCTTCTGGCTCCCAGAGTGCCGGCGTGCAGGTGTGTATGAAAAACTACAAGTACATGTGCATACATGTAGAAGGATATAGGCATGCATCGATACACACTTTTTGATATACATTTTGAATTTGTGCACGTCTACCCGGTCTACCCATCTTTCATCTGCAGTATGTTGCCTCCCGACATCAATGTGCGCAGAAATCAGGCGCCAAGAATCCATCTCAGGGCCGGTGCACGCAACTGAGCAGTAGATCTGTCCCCGGGCATGTACAGCCTCTGGAATGGGATAAATCGATCCCTTAGATGCTGGATCACAATCGCAGAGGTATGATCTCTGATGTTTCACCGTTTCACCAACAATAAAGGAGATTTCATCCTTTAAAAGAATAAAGCAACTCTTCTAATCTATTTTCGAATCTAGGATAGATATTTGTGAAATGATCATGTCATTAGCGAGTGGATCAGCCAAAGTCGTTCGACCCATACTGAGTTTCATGGGTCTAAACACAAGCAACAAACTGCGGGATTTGGGTAAAGCATGACAAATCGCCAGGTTGCCTCGACTTCAAGCTACTCATGAGAAATTATCTCCTGATGGCTACTACGTCAGGTTCTTGGTTCTATCATTGCACGGTGATTTAGACTAATTTCAGAAGTATATGGTGGATTCTGAATGGATGGTTTGGTGATGTTTGGTGTATATGCATATTTGTCTGCATATAAACAACCCTTATAAATCCTTATCATGCCTATCATCCCACCTTTTTTCAGGCGAAACAAAAACTCGCTGGAAAACCCACATGTTTTGCGCTTGAGAGAAACACCAGACCAGCTCTCTTCTGGCTCCCAGAGTCCCGGCCTGCAGGCGTGTGCTTGGGAACTGGCACACCATCTCCTGGTCGATCTTTGTGACCCGTCCCAAAATCCTAGGATTTTCCACGGTTCTTAATGGTGATATACCTGATATGATATACCCATATATACCCCACATCACCGTTTTTCATTGAAACCGATGCTTCCTGACGGATAAGGTTCCATCAGGTTCCGGCCCTATCTTTTCCAAAGCCGTCAGGGACCGCATGCCATGCCCTAGCCATTTCTTGCCATCCTGCCGTCTCCTGCACGGCCTCAGTCGTCCGATTCTGGCACATGAGGATTGCCAGGAAGCACCCTTGGTTCGGCGTGCCGGATCTTCGCACTGCTTCCATCCGCCTGCGCTGGCTGAAGGGCTGTTCCCACAAGACCGTTTTAGGAGGGAAAATGATTCACTGACGGAATTTAGGGAATCTGTACCCTACAAGTATCTTCAGACAAGCCCATTGAAGGGGAGGCTGTGTTGGGGTTTACGGCGACGGAATCACGAAGGCTCAAGAGAAAGGTTGGGATCATGATGCAAATCACAATGAAAATAGTTGGTAGTCATGGATGTTCATGCTTCCAAAATGTGTCAGAAGGCAGGATGCCAAGATAACTAAGCTATTGCTAAGGTTGCTTATTGATCTATAACTATGGTGATGGTACATCGAACCAGTTAACTAGTTCATGGGCCCATATGGGCCCCAAAGAGCTTGATAAACCAACCAGCATCACTGCCCGCAGCCAGATGCCCATAAAATGCCAATTCTCACGATACCCACCATGTTGGAGGGCCCGGCCTCTGTGCACTTCGTTCAGAAGCACATGCCCACCCTGGTAGGCTTGGACCAATCCGCTGTGTTGGATGCATGTTGCAACGAAACTAAACAAGTAGAGATAAGTAGAGAATGGAAAACGTGGCTGTCTGAAAATACAATGCAATAGGAAGTGTTTCCATGGGAAGAAAAGTAGATAAACCATGCGTTGGGAAGTGTTTCCAGTTAACTCAAAATCACAGGATCTCCCACCCCGCCGGTGATACGTAACTAACAAACTCTATGCAAAACCCCCCAGCTGTATCCAATTTCTAGATGTTTTTCCTTGGGAAACCATGGGTTTTTCCGTAACTTCCTGTGAATTTACTGGTACCATCAGCACCCCCTGCACCTTGGACCAGGATTGCATAGCTGGCCTGTTTCGGCGTCACATTTGCCCGTCAGGGGTCGCACGGTTGTCAACCGCAAACAAGTGGCTTCTACAAGTATGCCAGGGCTGACTAGGGCATACTACCCACCGTAGGGCTGATTATTTGGGAGGTTACCATTTTAATGACAAATGAGCACATTTCAGGGGTATCCATGAATTTCATCATCCAGTGTTCAGCAAAATCCGGGGTCGACATTACCTGGGTCACCGAAAAAATGCAGTTATGAGGTGTTACGGTCCAATAAAATTCATTGAAAGTCTTTGTTGTGGGTGTTGCCTTTGTCCGGGAGTGGGGAACCCCTTGATTTTTTGTGGGTTCACCAAACTCCCACACTCCATCACGGACGCTGCCTGTCGCATCTTCTGAAACCAGTGCTCTGCTGCGGCGCAACCAGAGGATTTCCAGCAAGCATTCAAAACCGCATTGAAGCTTTGCCTCAGTCGAGCTCTACGCATGGCAGATTAGTAGAAAGTATGTGGCAGAGATCAATATGTTGGGGAAAAAAACAAATCACTTCAAGAATGGTCCGATCAATCATGCACAAAGCTCCACTCCAGAACTTCAAAAAACTCACAGATTGGTGCCACACTAGACCAACAGAATGAATCTTTGCTCTCGCATGAAACACTTGCCCATTGTCGTTGAGTTCACTCCAAGCGAAATTCTAAAGAAATAGTGAACTTGTGCACCTCTTCCTATTTCTTCCTTTGTCAAACTTACCCAAGAGGCAGAAGTGAATTGGTCAATGGCAACTAACAAAGCTCCGACAAGTTCGTCTGAGGGCAACATCCCTCCTGGTGTCTGGGCACTCTAAGGCACAAAAAAAATTGCCGGAACGACCATATCCACACACCGAGAATATTCCACCACTTCATGCTGTACTGGCTCAACCCATCTTGAACAAATTCTAGTAGCCTACGAGCCAAGCAACTGTCCCACATGGGCGGCCACATGTCCCCTCGAACGTTCAGGGAAGAGAATGGCATCAGGGTCGACCTGCAAGTGTAGCAAAAGCAGTCACTGTCACAAAACACCAAGATACGCACAGGGCTTGCCAGGATCAGCTGGGCTTACAAGACATTGCACTGTCTTACTGTACTAGCAGTGCGACTAGCTGCTGGCTACTGCTAGCGTCTCGAAAAAAGATCCGCCCGCACCGAAGGTGCCGAGGCGTTTTTTTCCAGGCACGCGTGATCCGTAAGCAATTGCAATAGCTAAATACTAAGCTTTGGCTTGGGGGGTAATAGGAAAACAAAAGACCAGCTCTCTTCTGGCTCCCAGAGTGCCGGCGTGCAGGTGTGTATGAAAAACTACAAGTACATGTGCATACATGTAGAAGGATATAGGCATGCATCGATACACACTTTTTGATATACATTTTGAATTTGTGCACGTCTACCCGGTCTACCCATCTTTCATCTGCAGTATGTTGCCTCCCGACATCAATGTGCGCAGAAATCAGGCGCCAAGAATCCATCTCAGGGCCGGTGCACGCAACTGAGCAGTAGATCTGTCCCCGGGCATGTACAGCCTCTGGGATGGGATAAATCGATCCCTTAGATGCTGGATCACAATCGCAGAGGTATGATCTCTGATGTTTCACCGTTTCACCAACAATAAAGGAGATTTCATCCTTTAAAAGAATAACGCAACTCTTCTAATCTATTTTCGAATCTAGGATAGATATTTGTGAAATGATCATGTCATTAGCGAGTGGATCAGCCAAAGTCGTTCGACCCATACTGAGTTTCATGGGTCTAAACACAAGCAACAAACTGCGGGATTTGGGTAAAGCATGACAAATCGCCAGGTTGCCTCGACTTCAAGCTACTCATGAGAAATTATCTGCTGATGGCTACTACGTCAGGTTCTTGGTTCTATCATTGCACGGTGATTTAGACTAATTTCAGAAGTATATGGTGGATTTTGAATAGATGGTTTGGTGATGTTTGGTGTATATGCATATTTGTTTGCATATAAGCAACCCTTATAAATCCTTATCATGCCTATCATCCCACCTTTTTTCAGGCGAAACAAAAACTCGCTGGAAAACCCACATGTTTTGCGCTTGAGAGAAACACCAGACCAGCTCTCTTCTGGCTCCCAGAGTCCCGGCCTGCAGGCGTGTGCTTGGGAACTGGCACACCATCTCCTGGTCGATCTTTGTGACCCGTCCCAAAATCCTAGGATTTTCCACGGTTCTTAATGGTGATATACCTGATATGATATACCCATATATACCCCACATCACCGTTTTTCATTGAAACCGATGCTTCCTGACGGATAAGGTTCCATCAGGTTCCGGCCCTATCTTTTCCAAAGCCGTCAGGGACCGCATGCCATGCCCTAGCCATTTCTTGCCATCCTGCCGTCTCCTGCACGGCCTCAGTCGTCCGATTCTGGCACATGAGGATTGCCAGGAAGCACCCTTGGTTCGGCGTGCCACTGGATCTTCGCACTGCTTCCATCCTTCGCTGGCTGAAGGGCTGTTCTTGAAGCGGAGGCTGTCCAAAATTAGTCAACCATACCGTACCCCCCACAAGGCCTTTTAGGAAGGAAAATGAGAAAATGATCCACTGACGGAATTTAGGGAACCTGTACCCTATCTTCAGACAAGCCCATTGAAGGGGAGGCTGTGTTGGGGTTTACGGCGACGGAATCACGAAGGCTCAAGAGAAAGGTTGGGATCATGATGCAAATCACAACGAAAATAGTTGGTAGTCATGGATGTTCATGCTTCCAAAATGTGGGCAGGATGCCAAGATAACTAAGGTATTGCTAAGGTTCCTTATTGATCTATAACTATGGTGATGGTACATCGAACCAGTTGACTAGTTCATGGGCCCATATGGGCCCCAAAGAGCTTGATAAACCAACCAGCATCACCGCCCAAAGCCAGATGCCCATGAAATACCAATTCTCACGATAGCCACCATGTTGGAGGGCCCGGCCTCTGTGCACTTCGTTCAGAAGCACATGCCCACCCTGGTAGGCTTGGACCAATCCGCTGTGTTGGATGCATGTTGCAACGAAACTAAACAAATAGAGATAAGTAGAGAATGGAAAACGTGGCTGTCTGAAAATACAATGCAATAGGAATGTTTCCAGTTAAGTAACTCAAAATCACAGGATCTCCCAACCCTTCGCCGATACGTAACTAACAAACTCTATGCAAAACCCCCCAGCTGTATCCAATTTCTAGATGTTTTTCCTTGGGAAACCATGGGTTTTTCCGTAACTTCCCGTGAATTTACTGGTACCATCAGCACCCCCTGCACCTTGGACCAGCATTGCATAGCTGGCCTGTTTCGGCGTCACATTTGCCTGTTAGGAGCAGCACGGTTGTCAACCGCAAACAAGTGGTTTCTACAAGTATGCCAGGGCTGACTAGGGCATACTACCCACCGTAGGGCTGATTATTTGGGAGGTTACCATTTTAATGACAAATGAGCACATTTCGGGGGTATCCATGAATTTCATCATCCAGTGTTCAGCAAAATCCGGGGTCGACATTACCTGGGTCACCGAAAAAATGCAGTTAGGTGTTACGATCCAATAAAATTCATTGAAAGTCTTTGTTGTGGGTGTTGCCTTTGTCCGGGAGTGGGGAACCCCTTGATTTTTTGTGGGTTCACCAAACTCCCACGCTCCATCACGGACGCTGCCTGTCGCATCTTCTGAAACCAGTGCTCTGCTGCGGCGCAACCGGAGGATTTCCAGCAAGCATTCAAAACCGCATTGAAGCTTTGCCTCAGTCGAGCTCTACGCATGGCAGATTAGTAGAAAGTATGTGGCAGAGATCAATATGTTGGGGAAAAAAACCAATCACTTCAAGAATGGTCCGATCAATCATGCACAAAGCTCCACTCCAGAACTTCAAAAAACTCACAGATTGGTGCCACACTAGACAAACAGAATGAATCTTTGCTCTCGCATGAAACACTTGCCCATTGTCGTTGAGTTCACTCCAAGCGAAATACTAAAGAAATAGTGAACTTGTGCACCTCTTCCTATTTCTTCCCTTATCAAACTTACCCAAGAGGCAGAAGAGAATTGGTCAATGGCAACTAACAAAGCTCCGACAAGTTCGTCTGAGGGCAACATCCCTCCTGGTGTCTGGGCTAAGGCACAAAAAAATTGCCGGAACGACCATATCCACACACCGAGAATATTCCACCATTTCATGCTGTACTTTCTCAACCCATCTTGAACAAATTCTAGTAGCCTACAAGCCAAGCAACTGTCCCACATGGGCGGCCACATGTCCCCTCAAACGTTCAGGGAGGAGAATGGCATCAGGGCCGACCTGCAAGTGTAGCAAATGCAGTCACTGTCACAAAACACCAAGATACGCACAGGGCTTGCCAGGATCAGCTGGGCTTACAAGACATTGCACTGTCTTACTGTACTAGCAGTGCGACTAGCTGCTGGCTACTGCTAGCGTCTCGAAAAAAGATCCGCCCGCACCGAAGGTGCCGAGGCGTTTTTTCCAGGCACGCGTGATCCGTAAGCAATTGCAATAGCTAAATACTAAGCTTTGGCTTGGGGGGTAATATTTGGTTTAGAATCCGCTGTTTTTCCACTTTTCTACGGGGCCGAAAGTCGGCCAAGTTGCCAACTTGGGCTCAACATGGCCCAACATGTCTCAACATAGGCCCGACATGGGCCCAACATGGGCCCATGGCTGAACATGTACCCAACACAGCCCAACACAGCGGAGATTGGCCCAACATAATAAGCCATAGGGACATGTCGGACATGTATGGTTTATTGGAGCTACTCCGGTGCGGGCAGTCGTCGCGAAGCGACCAGAATATCCTGGCCCGGGCCGCGGGCCTTTGCCAGAAAGTCGTAATTGTACCCCCATCGGGAGCCCAAGATATACATCCACGTCCTTGGCAGTGCATCACAAGAACAAAATACCCGGTCCAACGAAGTCTCTCGAACAAAATCTGAGACTCAGCAAAGTGCCAGAAATTGCCGCCGGATTGGCAGAAAACATGCAGAAATCACGGGAGCTAAGTATTTTAACACATGCTACTCAACAAAAAAAAGTATCACATCCAAAACTTGAAAAAATGCGTTGAACAGCACAGCTTCACAGCACTTCACTTAGCTCCCGGCTTCACAAAGACCTGAGAATTGGCTGCTGTCCTATCGACACTGACTCCGGCAGTGGAGGGAATGAGCTTCGTCCTTGGAGGGATGTGCCATGGAAAAGGTCAACTGTCAAGGTTCACTGATGTCATATCTTCACAACTGCTCACACCAGAAACTGATGTGCCAAAAAACATGCAGATTGAGAACACAGAATACTGAGTCTACTGGAGACGTATAAATCAACTTGCACGGGAAAAACAAAGAAATCACCACCATTTGGCACAAGTCAGGAAACATGGTGTGGACTGCGCCTCTCCCCAAAAAGGATCACTGAGCGACACAATATCTCTTTTTTTGAGAGTAAGAATGTCTGAAACGTTGCGTTGGATCTTTTTGCATGTACTGGCCTGGGTCAGTACCACAACACTACTCAAAGTATGAACGACTGCGTCTCACCATGCTCAACTTTGTTCTTGGATTTATCCACGGCAAGATGGCATAGGCGGCATATCTAACCTTGTTTCGCGGGATATCCAAGCAAAACACCGATGATTTGCATCATAATTCCCTTGAGGCTCTTGTATCCATGGATGTCAATCTCGTGGTCACACATCAAACCTTGGCTAGCAATGGGCTGTGTGTGAGGCAGGCAGGGGTCGGGAGGAGGGGGAAGCAGGCGAGAGTGCGCAACCAAAAACAATAACCCCATGACACCACACCCACCCATTGTTTCAAGCGAGCGGCTTATTTGCGCATAGGCCCTTCCCTTCCGTTGGGGTTATCAGGTGGTACTGGTACAGGTGTTTCCTCTTCCTGCACCTGCATGGCCGAAACAGTTCACCGTTACAAAGATGTCCAGTAAAGAAACAAACTAACAATATTCAAACAGCAACATTCGAATTACAGTGTACTGAAAACACGAGCGAAGGAAAAAAGGAAAAAAACATGGCCTCCTGTGCCAGGCATTGCCACAGCGCCGCAAGCATGTCCAAGATAAGCTGCCACATCATGTCAGGGATATCTGCCAAACAAAATCCAATGTTTGGAGCTCAATGATTGCCACATTGTGAGAAAAAAGACTGTCATGGATGAATCATAGGTAAAATTCTGATTGTCATGATGGGTGACCGTGTTTACTTAAGAATACACATAGCAACTTGGGTGGTACGGGAGGTGTTGCAGCTTGAGCCAACCATCGCAACCATGTATATGTGTATATGTGTATATATGTAGATATGTAGATATGTAGATATGTATAGATATGTAGATATGCATCTATGTATCTATGCATCTGCTGCATCTATGTATCTAGGTATCTAGGTATCTAGGTAATCTAGGCATCTATGTTTTCATGTATCTAGGTATCTAGGTGTCTAGGTATCTATGTCTATGTATCTATGTATAAATGTCTGTATATTTGTATATATGTATAAATGTATAAATGTACAAATGTACAAATGTGCAAATGTACAAATGTATATATGTATATATGTATATATGTATATATGTATATATGTATATATGTATATATGTATATATGTATATATGTATATATGTATATATGTATATATGTATATATGTATATATGTATATATGTATATATGTATATATGTATATATGTATATATGTATATATGTATATATGTATATATGTATATATGTATATATGTATATATGTATATATGTATATATGTATATATGTATATATGTATATATGTATGTTATATATGTATATATGTATATATGTATATATGTATATATGTATATATGTATATATGTATATATGTATATATGTATATATGTGTATATGTATATATGTATATATGTGTATATGTATATATGTATATATGTATATGTAGATATGTACATATGTACACATGTATGCGTGTTGCCGCATGTGTATATTATTAATGATATTCCATCTACCCTGACCCGCCTCACTCCACCTCTGGCTTGCGGCACATTGTGAAGACATCCTCCACTGCCTCAAAGGAAAGATGAGTGTGAAAGGGTGTTGTGCAAAGAATTGCACTCCCCACGTTTTCTTTTAAATCATGTTCTAATTTGTTTAATGGCCGGAAATCGGGGGCTCTTGCATGGATCGAGACAAGCGCCTAAATGAACGTGGGAGTCAGTCATTTCTGGTGCACTAATCCTGCAGGTGTCACAAAACAGGCTGGGCAGGCCAGCCTTGCAGAGATCTTCCCAAAAGTGCTGGGCATGCTCCTGGTACCGCCGTGCCTCCAAATTCCACCGAAACTCAATGCGGCAGATTGACTCATCACTCAACTTAGGGAGAAAAACAATTTGTTCAATAGATTTTGGCCAATGATGGATACAAATGGATACAGATTCTCAGGAGAAAAGAATTTTTTTCAATAGGTGTGATGGGTTGATGGGGAAGGGCCATTGCTTCTGTCGAAATCTTGGCCAATGCTTAGGAACAGCGGCCCTTGACGCCTGGCTGTGGATCTGCTCAGCATCCTGCAGAAAGCGCTGCCGAAGCTCCTGGCGTTTGGCAAACTGACAAAGTTCGTTCAAATTCTCCAACGCTTATGGTAAAACCTGAAATTGTATAATAAGTATAATCAGTATATATAATTATATATTTGAATGAACTTTGACAAAACTCAAAAACGATATCCTCACTGTAAGACCTGACATGTTTGTTGACCAAAGTTTGCGACGTGGTGAACCCCTCCTCAGGAGGAGGCCAGTGAATCTCGTCGGGGCGCTCCACAAACTCTGGCCAAGCAAACCAACAGAATTGCAGCTCAACCGCCATGGCGAATTCCAAGGAGTTCTAAGTTTTGTGATCTCTGGAGTTTGCATGAAGTTTGCAAAAACATAGGAGATCTGACCCATATCCATTTGGCATATATGTCCTGACATGTATACCTTCTCTAAATCTCTCTAAATCTCTCTAAATCACTCTAAATCACTCTAAATCACTCTAAGTCACTCTAAATAACTCTTAACCATTTTCAGCCTCTGTGCGCCTTGGTTTTTGCAGCGAAATCCCTTGAAAATCGATCATTGACATCACATGAATCTGGGTTTTTGTGGCTTATGATTTGGGCCTCCCATGGTCTTCCCAAATCTCTTATCCTAAAGGGGGTAGCGTTTGGAGACATGATGGGCTGTACTGTTTCCTGTATAGCAATTGAAGTATCATTGTTTATTCATAGTGCCCCTCGTTTAATAGTATTTTACAACATGTTGCGAGACCATCCCCCGACAGAAATTAAGACCAAGGGTCGCTACAAGAGCATTTCAAGTCATTTGAGATCATTTGAGTGGTAAGGGGTCAGAGGCCTGAAACCTCGTAAATAGCAGTGTTTGGGGCATGTGACCCCTATCCACTTATGGGGCGTCCCAAATTGTCATGGGATGTGCCCACACAGCTCATGTGGGGTACCCAAAATGGGACTGAGACTCCAGAAAAGTTTAGTAGCAGGGAGTGGGAAACGGGAGATTTGACTACATGCAAGGTTGGTATTGGGATACCAGGACTTGGGGGCTAAACCTCAAGTTGCAAAAGCTGAACGCGAAATTGCACAGCTAAACACTCTGTTTTGATCCGCAGGGCCTCAACGATACATACATTGAGAAACATCCATGTGGCATGTGACATGGACTGCAAATGACTGTTACACTTCTGATTTGTGCGTGTCATCCCATGACCTATGTGACATGAGAGCACAGTGCACAATGTTTTGGACTCCTCCTTTGGAGGTTGAGTTTTAACTGAAGCTCCAACTGTATTCATTGGGCTTTGTGCTCTGTTGTAGCACCCTGGGCATTATACGGAGTTGCCCAGATTCCGTTTTCAGTTCACCACACCATATTTCTGATTTCCATGGCTCTTTGTCTGAGTCGATTTGCAAGCTCCGGGGTCATAATCTGATGCCTCGGCGCTATTGATTCCAGTCTGTTTGCCACCTCATTCATCACATTGTTTCGTTCTGTTGTCCTGCTCATGTTTCCAACATTCAGGTTGTCCAGCAAAAGTAGCACCAGGTGTTGAATCTCAGCTGCGTCTCGAAAATGAGATCTCGCCAGTGCATGATTGATCTCATCCCGCAAAGCCACCACCACGGTGGTGATGGGTCCCTCCTGGTCACTGGCTGTAACCGGGGAGACTGGAGCAAGTGGATCATGCTCTTGCTCCTCCTCTTCTCCATGCTCCTGCATTGTCTCATCTGTATCTTGTCCTGCAGCTGAACCCTGGTTTTGATGTCGGACCACCTGAAGAAAACGCTGTTGTCCCATCACTCTCGATGCAACCAAATTTCCAGCTTCTTGCTGGTACATATGGCGGCGTTGTGCTGCCGTCATTTCTGTCAAGTTCACGAATCCTCCCATCTGAACCAGCGCAAAGTGTACACCGTCTGTAGTGTCATTCACCATCATTTGTTGTTGTTCCAATTCCACAAAATTCTCCCTGAGTTCTGCTGCTGTTCGTTGTAACTGGTTGCAGTCGTTTCGAATCTCACCAGCGTACTGATCCAACTCCGCAACTTGAAGACAAAGTTGGTTGTGGTTTTCATCCACCTTCCATAGCCACTTGTACAAACGCCAAATGAAAAATGACCACACCAGCGCAGCAAAAACCAAAAGGAAAAATTCCATGTTGAAGCCGTGCTGAGCACCTGCAGCTTCCATTGCATTGGGCTCCTTCCACTCACATTGGTTCTCTTGAAGCGAATCGTCACCAAGAAAGGTTGCTGTTGCACCTGTAGGACCTGCTGGCCCAAGGCCCATCATAAGCATTACCCTGGACACGGTCTTTGCCAAGGCTGCAAGTTCTCGTGCTCCTCCATGTTTTGTTGATTGTTGTTCAAACTCTTCAGACCCGACTGCAAAGTCCCCCTCACCTGTTGCAACGCCAATTTCATGTAACAAAAAGCGCAAACGCTTGGCACTCAAAGGTTTCGTGCCAATGTCACTCACATTCCAGGCTGTAGGGATCTGAGCAAGATTGGTCTCCTTGCTCTGAACTGCATCTTGGATCCAAAGAAGTTTGCCAGCAATGTGCTTGGCCTTTCCAACTCCTTGCTTCATGCTGAGCTGTCTTGCTGAAGAACTGTCGGTGTAGAGATACTGCTCGATGTCCGCATTTGTCAAAAACTGCATGCAATGCTTGATGAACAAAGAATCGGCCAGCGTGCTCGTGAGTGCATGGAGCTCGCTCTCACACGAAGACAAGGACACCACTCTCTGGGTGCGGCTGCTGCCGTAAACAAAAGCTCCTCCAAGCATGTGCACTCCGCAGCTTGTTGACCTTCTATGCTGCTGATTGCATGACCAGTCTGAGTCACTGAAACTCTCTAAGACCCAGCACTTTGTTGAAGTCTTCCACTTACCCTGACCAGGAAGTGGGGTTTCAAGAACCATGCAGTACTCTTCAGTTCCACGCAAGTAACCAACAAACTTCTTCAACTTCTGCAACGCTCCATGGGTAGGTTTTGACATGTAACTGCTCAACTCTTTCACTGAGTAAAGGACATCAGGTCGATCACGCGCCAAGTAAAGGCAGATTCCAATGATGGAACGAAAAGCAAACGCATCCCTGGCTGAAAGACTATCTGAGAGATCCTCAGCCAGCATCGATTGGTCACAAGGCACAAACTGTGTCCTGGCCTTGCCAAAATGCTCTTCGAATGCCTTGACAACTTTCATGGCGCTTGTTCCAGAAATCAGCGCAATCCCTTTGTCAATCTTCTTGATCTTGCGCTTCAGGAAAGAAATTGATGTCCCTGTGTCACCCAGCTCCTCAAAGCTGATTGTAAAACGCTCTTGGAATTTCTTCAGCACCACATCTTTCCAGTATTGCGTTTCACCTGCAAACATCACATCATCAACGTGAATCATCATCATCCCATGTTCGTTGCGACACAAACAAGGCTGCTCTTTGCAAAACTTGAAGTCCATCTCGCTTTCCAAAAACTGCCGCAAGAAAAGATACCAGTGGCGAGCACCAAGCCGCTGCCCTGGTAGATTTCGTTCCACGATGAAATCTTCTCCACGCAATTTCACCCTGACAGCTTTCTCCTGGGGAACCATCAGAAATGCATCTTTCACATCCAAGCTTGCCAACGTGTAGGCGGTGGTGTCAGCCTTTGAGTCTTTGTCCACCTCAGAGGTTTTCAACAGATACCAAAGCGGTAGAAGGTTCAAGATGTGGGTCGAAGTTGCCGGGCTATAAGTGTCATCCCTTCTTTCCAAGAACGCATATTCCCTTGCCACCAACCTCGATCTTCTGAGCCACCTCTTGCAAACCTTCCCATCTGAATCTGTGTAGTCACGCAACCTCCAGTCATAGACAAACTTTGTGGTCAGCTTGTCATCCACCTGCCCATCAAAGTCCGTTGCTTTCACCAAAACTCCCATATTGCAGAGTCTTTTCAGCTCCACATCATCTGCAAGGCGATCGATGCTCTGATCTGGCTCTTGTGGCGGATGCTTTGAGTCTCCATCTGCCCAAAGCTGCTCTGGCATGTCGGCTGTAGTCACCATTGACTCTCCTTCCCAAACATCCAGCTCATCCTGATCACTCAACTGCAAGTCATGCTCATAGCTGTCCATTGTGTGAACAACTTCACCATCACTGATTTGCACTGCACGCACTGACAACTCATGTTCTGCCATGATGCGCTCCACTCGCTGTTTCTTTGCAGAACCAAGACGTGCATGTTTGGAGTCATGACCTTCCTCCTCACCTGAGGCATGAGCTCTTGTTGTTGGGAATCCACGTGGCGTCGAAGGCACCACGTCCACATCATCAAACACTGAAGTCACTGGTACTGATGCCGCTGCCGAAGAGTTTGAGGTTCTTTCCTCAAAGAAAGACTTGCGCTCCTCCTGAAAGGGAGGTGTCTTGGGCTGTTCCTCATGCACCTCAATTGTTTCACCAAATGAAACAGACTTTGGATTCTTTTCCTCTTCCAAGGACTTGAGAGCTGGTTTGTCATGCATTGACATCTCGACCAACTCCTCTTCTTCTTTCTGTTCCTCCAAGTACTTTTGTTTCACCTGCTCTGCCTCCTCGTCAAAGAACTCAGAAGCTTCGATGGCACCTTGTGGTGGGTCAAAACTTGCCCCAATCGGTGATCTTTGTGTCTTCACCGGAATCACTCTACCACCATATGCAGACTTGTAGTTCCATGACCAGCATGCAAAGTCGAGGTAAAATGAAAGGTGTCCCTTCCACGAAGTTGAGATCCTTCGCACACTCCTCGCCAACACAAGCATGTGACCATCGTAGAGCAAGTACGAATCCTGAGGCTCGATCTTTCCAACAAACAGCATGCGCTTCCATCTTGCTGATGCTTTTGCCTGTGTTTTCACTGAAGACTTGGCATATCCAAAAACTGGTTCACCAAACTCGCACAGTGTGCCCTCATAGGGCTTCCCAAACGCAACTTCATAAGCTGTCATTGCTTTTGTTGTCACAAACCTGTTCAGAATCCAACACGCATGTCGCAATGCCCAACTCCACCAAGCATTGTTTGTTGAAAACTGTATACCAATCTTTTCACTCAGTGCAAACATCAAACTTCCAGCCAACGCACGAGCTCTGCCAACTGTGTTCTCAACCAAGCTGTTTGAGTGTGAGTATGCCATGGGTGTGGACGCTCTTGTTGCAAGACCCATGGATAACCTTGCATTGACTGTCATCCTGAGCAGCTGAACCAAAACCGGCTCATTGTCACACCTCAAGGTAATGGCCGCATGGCCCATCAGCTGACAAAACGTCAACAGTTCTTGCACCATCAGTTGGTATTGATTCTTGCTTCTAACTGGGACCGCACGTGTGAAACCTGTCATGGAGTCGATCATGATGAGGCATGTGATGGACGAAATGTCCTTCGGATCAGCTCCCTCTGGCACAGATTTTGCATAGCAAAAGTCAAAGCTGATTGTTGGGGTTCCTGAACTTCGTGCTGTTCCAGTTGTTTTGTGCGCATCTGCTCTGGCTTGGAAACTCACACATGCTGGGCACCAAGGCTGGTAAGGACAGTGCGTCAGGTTGTGCTTGTCCTGCTCCTCCTGCGATGGAGGACTTTGCAAAGGTTGAGCCCTTGGTTCTCGGCTCTCATCCTGCTGAGATTTTGCAACTGCTGAACTCAAGATCTCCAGTTCTGTCTTTTTCTGAAAATTGAGAAGCCGCTGAAAACACTTTTGCTTGGAACCAGACGTGCTCAAACCACGTGCTGTAAGTGCAGTTCGAAGTGCTTGCAAACTGCTCTCCATTGTAAGCTCCACACCATTGACTTCCACCTTGTCAGTTGGGCTAGGGACCATTACCAGTCGACCTTCTTGTGGAACTTCTGCACCTCCTGCATGTTCAGCGCTCTCAATTTCCTGACCAAAGATTTCATCCTCAGGAGCTAACTCAATGTCAGCATTGCCATGTTCATCTCTTTGTTGTGGGGCAACTGGGTCATCTGAAGCTAACTTGAATCCCATCACCAATGGATCCTTTTCACCGTCTGTAACAATGGTGATGATATCACGGCTGCCCTCGTACCCATAAAACTCAGCTGACGGATCAACCAAAGTTTGCAAAGGCTCGCACAACTCCAGGACGTACCACTCACCTGAGTCTTTGAGCAACGTAGTCCTGCATTTTGGACCTGTCATGCCTGGACGAATCAGGCTTGGATCCTGGAAGTGGTCTGAAAAGTGGCGTCCAACTCCAACATCAAACCTGTCCAATTGCCATCCAACAGGACCCTTACCCAAATAGTCCATCACCTCCGCACGCACTGCAAAAACTCCATGTGAACATGCATGTGTCTCCTCTGGCGTCGTTTGTTTCAAGACTCTGATCCAACCATTCACCATGATGCTGCGGTTCTGCAACTCGATTGGAACCTTCAAGCCAGTTTTGTGAGAAAGCACCTGTTCATCAGACTGTATGCTCCATCCGTTCTGCATCAACTTGCCAAAACACAAAATTGGTTGATTGACACATTCACTGATTGCAACGCGCTCTCGAATCACGACCACACGTCCTGTCTCATCTAAGAGCTGAACTTCGATGTCTCTGAAGTCCAAAATTGGAATCTCTGTTCCCTGAGCATCATGCAGCTTCACCGGTTGACACGAAGCTGAAGTTCCCATGCCAGCAAACCTAGCAGGAAAAATTGCTGAATCTGCACCTGAGTCAAGCAAGATTGCACACAACTCTTCATCCTCTGGAATCTCTTGCGTCACTGCACGTACGTTGCAAACTTCAAACTCATCATGTTGTTCTTGCTCATCACCTATGAAGAAATGCAAAGCACGAATTGAGCCATGTGTGGGTGAACTTCCATCTCTCAGATCGAAAACAAAATGTCCATGATCTGCATCCTCATGAAAAACTGAATTCTCTGAAACACGTGAAACTCTGTAAGTGGTGGGCTGCTGAGGCTGTTGCTGAACTGGTTGTTGGACTTGCTGGCCACTGGATGCCGCTTGAGGCTGCTGAGAAATGCTGGTCAAATGAGTCCAATCTGAAGGAGCAGACCCTGAACCAGCGCTTGATGAAACATTTCTCACTGAATGCCAGCAATCCTTTGCAAAGTGACCCGGCTGGCCACAAACGTAACAACCCTTTTCTGCAGGTTTCCCACCTTTGCCTTTGCCCTGGAAATTCGTTGACTTGCCCTTTGAATTCTTTCCACCTTTTGACTTTCCACTCTTGTCTTTGCTCTTGTTCTTTCCCTTTCCTTTGGAAGAACCCTTGTCTTTTGATTTACCCTTGGCATTCTTTCCATGTTTTCCTTTTCCCTCAATTCTATCAACTTCCATTGCAACTGCGTCTGTGCTATCATCTGCTGAGGTTGTGGCACCACTCCATTTCTGCTGAGCTCGATCCCAACGCAAGACCTCCTCTCTCACATCCAAGTACTTTGTACCCTCCTTGATGTTCAAGTTCAAGTGGGTCTTCAATGAACCACTGATGCACCGCAAAAGAATGGCTGTCTTGAGCTCGTCAGCCAATGTTGTGCCAGCTCTGCGTGTTTCGTCGAATGCTTCCTCCAGTTTCAAAACCTGGGATTGAAGCGGTTTGCTCATAGCAAAGCTTGGCCATCCAGTCACATTCGTCAGCAGTGCAAGTCCACGGGATTGGATACTGGGTCTCAAAGCTAAGGTCAGTTGTCGAAGTGCCTCGTAGCCATCTCCTGCTGGAGCAGCTCGCACTATGCTTAGTGCTCTGTTCTTCACTAAGCTCGCCAGAACACCATACAACTTTGCAGACCTTTGGCGCGTCTCTGAACTCGCTGTACCCATATCCAAAGCCTTGTTGGGGTCTTCTGTAAGTGATCTCAGCTCAGGCTCATATCCTTCGTCCACAGTCACCATGTACTGTGTCAATTGCCACAGCCAGTCCTTGTAGTGCTTCAAGTCCTCGTCAATGGACTTGTGATCGAACATTGCTGGCCTGTTCACAAGTTTTGACCAGTCAATTGTCGGTTTTGCAGATGCAGTCACCGGTGGAGGTGGAACTGCAGCACTCTTTGCAGCTGCCACTGCCGCTTCCGTTGCTTCAGCTACACGCAAAAGTGCAGCTTGGAAAATGCCAGGATCAAAAGATGTCATAGCTCCAAAGAAACGCCCGCAAATGAAAACTGTTGTCCAAACTGCAGTCCTGTAAAGTCTCCAGAAGCCTGTAACCTCTTCTTAAGAACCTCGTGCACAGCCACCTGTCAGTTGTCCAGTATATACCAAGCAAATAGACCTATGCCAGCTCGCCTGATTTCCTGGAAAACAAAAGTGTTCAAAGTGCCAGTTCAAGTTGTTTCCACAAACGTTTGAAGTGCAAGTCAACCAAGTAGTCACAGCGACAAGTCGTAGCTGGAACTCGTCAGAGCTCCGCTACCATGCAAAAGCTGAACGCGAAATTGCACAGCTAAACACTCTGTTTTGATCCGCAGGGCCTCAACGATACATACATTGAGAAACATCCATGTGGCATGTGACATGGACTGCAAATGACTGTTACACTTCTGATTTGTGCGTGTCATCCCATGACCTATGTGACATGAGAGCACAGTGCACAATGTTTTGGACAAGTGGAAGGTGGTCACATGTAACGTTTCACATCAGTTCCCTATGATATATCCAGTGATTTTGATGCCTGCAATGAATTAATTCTGTATTGTATTGTTGTACATATTACCATATGTACATATATATATATATATGCACACACTATCTGATAAATTATTGTTTTTCACAATAATTAATTTATGTTTTTCGATAAATATGTTTATCAACTGTTCAACCGCTGCAGAACCAATGTGACTGCGGTCACAGGAGTTAGTTATCTTCATTGCTGACAACACTGTGATTGAAGTTGCAAGGCACTGACTCAGTGAAAGTGTTCACATCTTTTTCCGCTGGGGTAGCACGAGGGCCTGTTGTTCAGGCTGAGGGTCTGGCCTCGCAATACATCGTCTATTGGTAGACGAGGCTTTGACCAGGATTGAACTGATACGACGCTTGATGGACAAGCGAAGGCAAATACGACGCTGGATGGGCCAGCGAAGGCATTGGAACCCAAACTGCCAGGGTGGCAGAGGGTGGGGCAGTTTGAAGATCACACAAAGAGAAACATCTGTGAACATTTTGGCAAGTGATGTAAAGAGGTGACATGGGAATGGATTGACATATTGCAACATGTAAAGCATGCATCCCAAATGACCGTTTGAACCAAGCAGCTGATGTGCATCCACATCTTGAATGCGTTGATAATTCGCAATCATGTTTGACCGCTATATTATCAACTGTTCAACCGCTGCAGAACCAATGTGACTGCGGTCACAGGAGTTAGTTATCTTCATTGCTGACAACACTGTGATTGAAGTTGCAAGGCACTGACTCAGTGAAAGTGTTCACATCTTTTTCCGCTGGGGTAGCACGAGGGCCTGTTGTTCCCCCCATTTTTCATATAAGGCCATGAGTTGCGACCAGCTGTCAAGGACATCTATTGGGTATTCTTTGGCACCTAGGTTTATGACTTTCTGGCAGCGGTATCTGGATGGCCCATCGGCCATGTTGGAGTCTGTTGGTACTCTTGCGTACCAGGGCGTAAGTTGAAGTTTACACTCAAGGGCCATGGTCGCCACTAGGAGTTTCTTGGCAGTGGCATTTCTAGAACTGCAAGAAATGAGACAATCACGAACACCATTGTTATCTGTGAAGATAACAACCGCATTCGTAATCCTCTCGCCCCATACTAAGAATGAACAGAAAAGAGCGAAGAACTCACACTCAAAAATGGCATTCTGTTTGGCTGACTCATTAAGTTTTCCTATTAGTTCGGCAGGCAACTTTTTCGAGAAAAAGGAAACGGGTTTACCTTGGGGATTAAATAAAACCGCACCTATTCCGGCATCAACTGCACCTGCAACCTCATCGTATGAAGCATCTGTTTGGGTGAACCAAGGTTCGCTGCTGGCCGGCTTCAGTTCTCTGGGGCGCCCATCATCAAGCAAATGCCGGTGCAACCTAATGGCTAGCAGTGCATCCTGTGACAAGCTAGTGCTACGCTGCAGGTAGGCGTGATTGGTGATTGCCGACAAGGAGCACTTGCCAACTCGGCCAAAGACATTGCCAGAAGTGAACTGAAGCCTGCCTCTCAAGCGAAGTGCTTCCTGCTTTGTCATACTTCCTCTGCTCAGGACCAAGTCTAAGAATTCGATGATTTCTTTGCGTCTGCTTTCGGTGTTTCCCAACTGAACCCTTCCAAGATGAAGTGCCGAAACATTTATGGTGACACCAAGCGCCTGAAAAAGATTGCTGAACGGAGGGGCTTTGTCCCCAGACTCTGAAAAGGCCCACCCTAGCAATTTGAAAAACATGTTGACGCAAGAAGTGATGACATTACTCTCGCTCTCAGGCGCCACAGCAACAAAGTCATCGAAATAATTGGTGAGCAAGACTTTGAACTCACATGTCAGCAGGTACCAAAGGCTATGTGCCACACGAAGGAAGCCATGGACTGAGCGCACAGCGCCGAACGGCAGCGCTTTCATTCTGAAGCACGCAAGCTCAAGGGAGGAAGGCCTTTGGGCGACAATGTAGGAGAATTGCTTCGAGTTTGGATTGATTGCACATTGTCTGTACGCCCCAATCAAGTCGAACGTCCGACCAACCCAGGGTGTATCGTCCGATATGGCCCCCATCAGGTTTACGCACATGGCTGCAAAAACATCTACGGTGTGAGGTTTAGGGCTCTCACACGTCTGGGCTGCGCTGTTCACTGCCGATCTTGAGAAGTCATCAATGCACCGCACCTTGCTGCCTTGCTGGATGCCGAAACGCCGGCTCAGAGGGTAATTCGTTGGAACATCAGCAAGGTCAATAGGACCTTCCAACAGGCCAGCCTTCACCTCTTCCATGGTCTTTTCCCAAACCTCATTAATATGGTCTGCACCAGAAACACTTGAAAACTGTTGTTGCAGTCCCGCTCGATCTCGCACTGCAAGATCACCCAGCTCTTCCAATGTCACCAGCGATGGTTGGAACTTCTGGGGCCACAAGCCTGTTCTTGGAGCTGGGCCAACTAAGTCTGTACCACTCTTCATCTCTTCAATCACATCCATATCAGGATATTCAACTGAAGCCAGCATCTCCTGCCAAAGGAGTATGTTCTTATCACGAAGGATCTGAGCAACGTCATAATCCATAGAGGCCTTCAGCTCGCACTCCTGCTGTTTGAGCGCGACAAGTCTCTTAAGCCAAAAACCCAACTTGCAAGCTCTGTACTGTAAGCGCTCCTGCAACGTTGTATCCCTGTAAAAACCAATAGTGGGCTGCAGAACTTCTGGCAACCCTGCTGAGACATTTGTGGGGTGTCCAAACTTCACCATCTGATCAACGAACTGCTCTTCTGTCCAGGGTATACCCCAAGTCTGGGTTTCACAGTTTCCGCACTTTTCAGGACCTTTATCTTCATATGCTGACACAAAACGATTCACATCATCGCTACATACATGCTGCTCCGAGACAAGACACCCCCCTTTCAAGCAAGAAGGAGGCAGCAGAGATGGCATAATTTGCAACAATTTTGACCCTTTGGGTAAAATGGTTGGTGCATTTACTGTTGGGACCTGCAGCTCTGCCGGGATTTTTGAATTGATATGGAGAGGTGGCAAGTCTTGCTGAAAACCGGACAACGCAATTTTTGCAGAAAACGTGGGTATTAATGGGGGAAGTTTACTGGCCTTCGGCTGGACTCCAGCCTGAGCTCTGAGGGCGGACAAGTTGGACGCATGCAGTTCCCCTACCAAGTGCAGCGCATCAGGTGATAAGCTGATCCCACGGTTCTGCAAGGCTACTGCAAACTGGGCTGCTATTGTTCTGGCTAAGATGGTTGGATATGCTGTCTCCAACGCTGTGGCAAACTTCTGAGATGGGGCATGGATACCCCATTTTTCATGCTTGTGCTCAGGCGACTCGCCGACACACATTCTATTTATGATATTAAACTCAACTGCATTATGGCCTAACATGGTGCGCTTTGGGCGCATGCTTCCGTACATACATGATTGGAAAGTTGTAAATTGCATCAAGTGGATGATTGATTGAATGAAAGTTGTTTGCCAAAAGTAACTGAATTGTGGATTTTCAACACAAAACAAGCAGCCCTGCTCTATGGCCCATTGGACAAGGCGGGCTGTCAGGTGATACAGCTTGTTCGCTTTGGAGACCTTAATCCGGTCGATGAACAGCAGATTGGGCAATCCATTTGGATGCTTGTCAGACCTGAGTGGCCTAGGGTCACCAGGCGATTTCCTCTTGAGCGGGATGGACCGTGCCCTTGAGGCCGACCCGCAAGGGGGCGCTATAAAGAGGCCCACAACATGCTCATCTGCCAGCCATTGCATTAGCAAGCTGACACCTTCTTCTGTCGCGAGGTCTGCAACAACCACCTGCGCAGCAGCTTGCTTGTGACGAATGTGGTCTGTGCCAAATGCACTAGACATACCTATCTTTCGAAGCTCAGCTGTTACTTTGGCCGTCCCTGCAAAGATCTCAACAATCATGCATTGCGATATGTCCGCACCAGCGTCTGCTAATCTGCTGATGCGGCCCTGGCGTCACTTCTTCTTGTCATGGTCCTTCTCAGGATGCGGTGCGAAGCATCCTTTGCGACAGCACAAATGCCATCCCTTTGTGCATTCAGCTCCATCTGCTGCATCAGTGCATTTGCCAACTTGAAAATTGAAACAAAGGCGACGACCATGCATGTCCATATTTGTATTGTCACGGCCCAGAAGGAATTTGGGAAGGACTCCTTTCCCACCTTTGTTCTTTCCTTTGCCACCACCTTGATGCCCCTTGCCTTTGTAGGGGTGAGAACGCTGTTGCCACGCATTGCCTTTTGCTCCAGATGGTGCTCCACTCCCTTGGTATCCTTGTTGTGGGGGATCTGCACGGCCAGTACTCTTAGGCAATGGCAACAGGTGGAATCCAACTTCATATGACTGAAGTGCCTCGAACAATTTCGTATCCATATCCAGTGTGTTGTTCGGCAAACGTTTTAGTTGGACTCCAACTCGGATCATGTACATGAAAACCTGGCGATCTGCTTTGAGGATTTGCTGCAAAGTTGGCCTGCTGTAATTCTGAGGCGGGTCCATTCTGAGATGACTTGTCAGCTGTTGCAGGTACCGTTCATGGGACTCCCATGAGAGGATGTCTGCAAAGTCCATTGCCACACCACGTCGCCTCAAAGCTTCGAAGGCCTGGAGTTCGCTTGAATGAAATTGATCAGGAATATCAGATTTCTCCTTCACCACAAGCTTCTCAGTGTCCAGGGAGATCTGCTTCTTGGTCTTGCCCATCGTGATCTCCCATTCCCTTGATGTCATTCGCTCAAGCTGAACGTAGCACAATTGATTTGCTTCCTTCTGTTGCATCATCGCCTCCAAAAGCTCGTGAGAAGGCTCAAGCTGCCGCTCAACAATGACTCCTTGTAAGCGCTGCTTCAATTGCGCCATCCTATGCTCTCGCTCCACAGCTGGGAGTTTTCTGCTGGCTGCTGCATTTGGATCTGTAACCAACTCTCTCAACTGTCCAAGCACCATCGTGTGTCCTTCGAACACCAGCCTTTTCAACACTGCAGTGTCTGCTTGACTTATCATGGCTCCAAGGGTGTTCTGTGCAAACTGTATGAACTCCCCTTGGTCCAGTGGGTGGCCTGGTTGGCCGACCGCAAATGCAATCTTTCCCATGGTGTCCAAGTTCCCTTGCAACAATTGTTGAATGCCACGTGTCGACATTCCCATATCTGAACATCGTTTTTCCAGATGTGCAGTTGAGTCCACGATTGAGGTCATGGCTATTCACGTGGTCGCGCAAGCAAATGTAAAAGTTATGTCAAAACAAAACAGCATCACAACTGACACACTCACCGCGTTGAAAACATTCAATGCAGAAAAACTTTGAAAGAAATCAAAACCTGTCAGGCACAGTGGAATGAAGAGTGTCACTTACATGACATGAAAATGGGAGAGTTCACGCAAAATATGTTGAATCACCTTTCAGCACATCGCTGCGGAGCACTCATTGTGATCCCATGCACATTGCATGAACTGTCCCCACATTGGGGTTTTTCACCACATTGGTGCTGCACATTTGGGTTGAATCACAACTCGCAACATGAACATCAGGACACATCGTCCAGAGATAAGAAAAATTAAACATGACACATTCGAATCAAGATGTCTGCACATTGCACTGTTGCCGGGGAGATATCAAGCTCATTTCGGAAAATACATCATGCATTCAAACATGCAAAATCACATTGGCACATGCCAGCTCAACATTGTGTAAAAATCTGAATGACACATGAAACTGACTGAGAAGCAGGCCACTGCAAGTCATTTTTCTTTTCAAACAGCCAGTGATCAAGACAACATGAAACATAGTGATGCACAGTGATACGCAAGACGCACCTAAGGCGCACGTCTGCCTTTGAAACAAATTCTGCATTTTGCAGTCCAGTCGTAGGGCCCCAGCACCAGCTTGTAGGTCTTTGTAAGCTCACGTCCACATGACGTCAGGGAACCCAGCATAAGCTCTTCAAAGTAGCTCTGCTCACATATTTGCATGTCACCACTGTTGCGACACTCATGAATAATCTTCGTCTTGGTGTTCATTACTAAGGTCTGCACCGTTGGCATCCTGTCACTGGCCTCAACGTGCGGTTCCTGACAGTCCTCTTCCTCCAGGTCAACTGTGTCTGCAACACTAGACGTATCACAGCATGTCACACTTTCAGAACTCTCACCACTTGAGTCTGATGAAATTTCAATGACACGTCTCTCAGCATCGCTCGTCGGCAAGACCCAAAATGGCTCTTCCTTGACTTCAACTGAGGCGTCGGCATGCAGTACGTCTGTCCGTTGCTCACCTGATCTACGTGCAGCTGGCGTTGCCGGTGCAGCGCATGGTGTAGCCGGCTGTGACCTGTTCAAGTATGCCGGAGTAAAAGGCTGCATCACTGCATGGGCCGGTGTACCTGTTGACATATTTGTTGAGCCCGCAAAGTAATTTGATCGACTCGCATCTGGGTTGAAAATCTGATCACGTATCATAGCCACCACCTTCTGCAAGGAGTTCACCGGCCCCACACAAAGGTCCCGACTGTAAAAAGTGTCTGACCCTTGGACTGCTGCTGCATGCCTTCCCAATACTCTTCTTTGCTCCCGGGGTACTTCAGCTTTTGCGGCCCAACTGAGGGCCGTCGCCTTAAGGCTATGGCTTGTGAGGTTCTCGTCAGAGCTCTTCAGAAAATTCTTCAAGATTCCTGAAATCTCCCCAGGAGCCAATGGCCGTTTCAGCCATTGGACTGAGTCGCCCATCAAAGGTGCAGGCATCAGGGCTCCGTCGACAACCCTTGATGTTGGCAAGCCACATGCTTTGCGATTGCTGATCCACGCCTGTATCCATGGGAAAGCTGTGACACCAACGCTACCAACCAGAATCGGCATCAACAATGCTTTCTGTTGTGCAGTGCGTGCCGACTTGTGATACCTCGTAGTCACCTCCAAGAAACCAGTGGAACCACTGACATCGTGAAGGATCTCATGGATGTAGTTCACATCTGAAACTCGGCATCGTCCATAGAGCATGAGCAATAATGTCGATGCAATGCACTTATCAACCTTTGAGTGGCTCCACCCATCTGCAATTGAGTGCAGTGTCCGAACTTCTGCTACTGTCAGTGGCCGGGCCTGTCTCACCGGTGCCTTCAGAGACAGTTGTATCTGAGCCTGCCCAGAAATCCTCCTGGAGTTGGCACAGGACAGTGTACCATGAAAGCCCATGACAAAATGTGCAAACCTGAGGCCCTGAATCAGTGATTGGGATCGCGATGCAGAGCTGGATCTACCTGTCTGTTCCTGCACATACCTCCAAATGTCTTCTTCATTGAACGGCACCATGGGGAAATATCCATTGACACTGTTCCATCTGTAATATAAAAGCAGTGCGTTGGCTCTCTTCAGAACAGTGTTTGGGCTTTTGACGCCCATTACCGACGTCAACACCAGTTCAGTCTCTTGTTCATCTTTTCCAACTAGCTGTCTACCTACATCTGATGCCTGGGGATCCAACATGACGAGGAAACGCCACTTCTGCAACGCGCACTGCAACGTCTTGTCACGCTGTTGAATGTACGTGGCATCAGTTGTATGTCTGATGAATTGAAAACTCTGCTGACAGCTCACTGAGGGGATGGCCGGTTGTTCAATGCCAGATCCAGTTGAATCCACGACAGGCACAGTTGAGTCACCCCAATCCAAAGGCATGGACAAACGGGCGCCTTGTGTAACCTCCCCAAAAATCTGTCTCATCAGTGGAGTTTCCCAAGGCATAGTTAGGGTTGTGAGCCGTGCACCTTTTATGAACTGATCTGAGATCGCAGCTGTATCATCCCTGGCTGAGCTGAAGCCGCCAACATCCACTGCACTGTCATTGCTTCGTTCCAGGAAATCACTAGAAGGTTCATAGAGTGAAGATGCACCGGCATGACATGATTCAACATCAAAGCCAAGGTCCAGACCGGAGTTCGCTCCCAACAAAGCTCTGGAAGGGTCAGCACTGTGTCCAGTGCCAGGTTCATTGCTAACTACTACAACATCATCATCACAGTCTTGATGTGCATCATCAACATCTAAAGAAGTTGAACCACCTGTCTTCCTCCATTTCAGTCTGAGACCTCTGAGGCTAGGTACATCATCCATTGCGCGCCGCGGGAAATTCCCCCCATGCAGTTTGAAGATCACACAAAGAGAAACATCTGTGAACATTTTGGCAAGTGATGTAAAGAGGTGACATGGGAATGGATTGACATATTGCAACATGTAAAGCATGCATCCCAAATGACCGTTTGAACCAAGCAGCTGATGTGCATCCACATCTTGAATGCGTTGATAATTCGCAATCATGTTTGACCGCTATAATTTGATATTGAACATACATGAGTGCAATTTCCAGCTGCAAATTCTTCATTTTCTGAAAAATGTTTTGCATCTTTTCATGCTGTTCATGAGTGCTTTTCAAAAACGAACACGTCCAGATTGAACATGCACTTTTTCAAAAGATTGTTTGACGATTGAATCTAGACCTTTTCCAGGCATCATCTATATTTTGCCTTAAAGGCGCTGCCGTGTTGAAAAAAAATAACACATTTGCAGGGAATCAATACACTTTGTGCCTGAAAGCGCAACTGCAACTTGAGAAATGTACTTCCCGAAAAGACTGCTGTATCTTAAACATTTTTTTGAGAGGATCATGCATCTTGAAGACAACCCTGCTTTCTGCAGTGAATTGTGTACTGTAGCTTTGAAAATACAAGCACATGTTCGAAAGATTTATTGCATGCTCTGCACAATTGCTGCTCCTTTCACATGAGATAATGGACTGTAGGCTGTATTGAACAAAAATTGGCTGTATTCTCTGGCTATAGGCTGTACACTTCCTGCTAGGGGCATTGCATCCTTGAATGGCACATTGTCATTTTTGTAGGGGTGATACCTGACTAGTGGAAGGAGGAAGGATTCGCGTTGAAAATATTGTATATTTCAATTTCAACCATAAATTATATGTTATTTGAACGACTAGTACGTGTTAGACTAGTATTTTCAAGATATAATGCATGACTACATGAAAATTGTTTTTTCAAACCTATTACATTGTACAATGAAAAATTGAACCTTTTTTATTTCTCTTTGACAACTTGCTTTGAACAAAATCGCAAACACAGCTTCAACACATACAAGAACTCGGCGATAGTCTCTGGTAGCTGCCGCACTTTCATTTTTGTCCGATGGGGTGAACGCTGCAATCAACATTGACGGGCCATCGCGTCTCGACGGCTGGGCTAGGCAGGGAGCTAGCTAAAGTCAATGGAAGAAGGTCACATGACCATGATGTTTCTCACATGAGAAAAGAAAATAAAAGCCACATTGGCTGAGCAAATCTTGGGTGGGACAGAGTGATAACTCAGTGGAGGGGCGAAAAATCTGGAATGGATCCCAGCTCACTCGAGCATGAACTTCACAAATAAAAACATGGTGTCACGTGACATGCATGTTATGCAGATCCCATGTCACTGAGTCAAACTGTGTCTCTGTTTCACGTTTATTATATACACACCACAAGAAACATGTTCAAGTGAGTTTTGTTCAAAGACATATAAACATATACTCAAGTTGTTGTTTAGAAATAAAACTGTATCAACTTTGTTGAGTTTCGTCTTATTTCTCTCTGACAACTTGCTTTGAACAAAATCGCAAACACAGTTTCAACACATACAAGAACTCGGCGATAGTCTCTGGTAGCTGCCGCACTTTCATTTTTGTCCGATGGGGTGAACGCTGCAATCAACATTGACGGGCCATCGCGTCTCTCCCCAATCAACTGTTGGGCCGCACACATTGCTGCCACACCAGAAACGGATCTACCTTTGTTCTTGACTTGTGCCATTTATGTATCTGCGAAGCAGCGGCCACTCTTGTTTTCCTGCTGAGCCTAAGGCCTCAAAGTAATGTGAAATGATTCCATGTTTCATGGATTCAACTGCAAAAGTGGTATGTGACACTTCTCGATTTGTGCGTCTGTCATCCTTGCGTTTCTGACCGTTTCTCTCAACTGACATCCATTGAAAGTACAACTGAGCACATGCATTCAGGAGGTCTACGCTGATAGAAATCTTTTGCGCTCCTCCTTTGTCTGGTGTAGCGAGAGTTCTCCAGACAACTCAATGCATGAACCTCCTCCATGAGCTCAGATAGGATTCATACACCGCAGCCACATCTGGATTGCCATGAAATCTGGCATAGTCACGCATTTCAGTGAAGCGCTGATTCAGCATTCCCAGAAAACGATTGCGGCGCTCTGTGTTGTAGAATCCATTTTGGTGGCTGAGATCAAGTAAGTCCATCATCAGGCGTTGAATGATGGAAGCATCACGGTATGATTCCCTGGCCAGTGCTGCATTCAACTGAGTCACAAGGTCATCCTGTAGATTCACCATGCCCGTGGGGCTGCTGCTTGGTCTTTCTCCTGAACTGGAGCCAGCTGACGCTGTCACTGGTGGGTCCTCGGCCTGTGAGTCTGTCTCTGATTCCACAGCCTCACCTGCATCTGTATGTTGGCCACGTCCTCCACCAAATTGCTGGCGCACGCATCTCATGTAGTAATCTGCACCCATTGTGTTGCGTGACACCAGGTTGGCACGTTCAGCATTGTACATGCATCGCCTCTCATCAGGCGTCAAATCTGTCAGCCTTGTAAACCCTCCAAGTTCCACCAAGCCATGATGAACCGACTCAGAGTAGTCACTCACCATAGTGATCTGGCCCTCAACATTGGCCACCCATCCTTCCAGTGCACTCAAGCTGTCCTGTTGACTGTCCAGTTTCTGCTGCTGATTGCCATAGCATCGGTCTCCATCAGCCAATTGGTATGAATGGCTGGAGAGCTCCTCACGCACGTCTTTGGCAAATCTCCATGCTTTGTAAACGAAACCAGTCCACAACAGAAAAAGCACTGCCATCCAAAAGAAAACCCAAAAGTGGCCATCATCGTTGGATTGTACCACCATGTCTGCACTGCACTGCAAATCGTCTCCTTGGATTCCAGCACCTGCAACTGAAAGAGGCTCAAGGCCTAGCACCATGATAACTCTGGCCACCGCTTTGGCCAACTTGCTGATTTTCGGTCCATTGTTGTGACGCAAGCTTTGCTGTTCAAATTCTTCTTGGCCAACTCGAAATTCACCATTGCCACTGTGTACTCCAACTTCGTGGAGCAAAAGCTGCATGCGTTGTTTGGACAAAGGTTTTGTCCCAATGTCGGCAATGTTCCAAGTTGTTGAAATCTGTGATATGTCCACAAAGGCCTGTCTCACATGATCCTGTATCCACAAAATCTTTCCAGAAACATGCTTTGCTTTGCCTGTCCCCTGACGACTGATCAGCTGACGTGCTGATGAAGAGTCTGTCAGTAGAACGTGTTGAATCTTGGCACCAATCACAAACTCAAAGCACCTTCGAATGTAGATGCCATCGCTCAATGTTGATACAAGGGCATGTAGTTCTGCCTCGCATGAACTCAATGACACTACACGTTGTGTGCGGCTTGAACCAAACATATACTGGCTGTTCATCACATGAAGGCCACAGCTTGTTGATCTTCTATGGCTTTTGTTGCCACTCCAGTCACTGTCTGCATGCGATTCGAGGATCCAAGTCTTCTCCTCTGATGTTTTGCAACGTCCATGGCCTGGCACAGGCATCTCCAGAACCACGCAAAAATCACCTGTACCCTTCAAATAGCCAATGAGTTTCCTCAGACGCTGAAGAGAAACAGCTGTAGGTGAAGACATCTTTTGAGAAAGCTCCTTGACAACATACATGATGTCAGGACGATCACGTGCTAAGTATAAGCACATGCCTACCACCGATCTGTAGTGGAAGGATTCTTCTGCAGAAAGTGGTTGTGAAAGATCTTCAAGCTGAATGCTGTTGTCACATGGCACCATCTGAAAACGTACTTTTCCAAACCATTGTTCGAAAGATTGCACTAGCTTGTCCACGCTAGTTCCAGGGACCAAAGCAAGACCATTTGGAATCCTCACCAGCTTGCGCTTGAGAAAGCTGATGGAACTGCCAATGCCCTCAAGCTGTGATGCATTGACTGTGTAGCGTTCTTTGAGTTTGGGCAAAAACGTCTCTTTCCAGTATTTGCTGCTTCCAAGAAACATCACATCGTCCACGTGGATCATCAAGGCACATTTGGAATTCTTGCACAAGCAAGGCTGTTCTGCACTCCACTCCATTTGCAATTCCTTTGAAAGAAAGTCATGAAAGTGCCAAAACCAATTCTTTGCGCCCAATCTCTGTCCTGGTAAATTCTTGAGCAGGACAAAGTTGCCTGTTGGGAGAACAAATCGTTGTGGTTCCTGTTGGTCCACCATCAGAAAAGCATCTTTGATGTCGACCACACCAAGTGTACATGGATCTCCACCAGAGTTCTCCTCCTCAGCCAGGCGTCCAAGATAGACAACTGGAAGAACATTCATCGTGTGACTTGATGTCGCTGGAGAGAAAGTATCTGATCTCTTCTCCCATGCAAATTCACGGGCAACCAGGCGTGAGCGCCTGAGCCACTTCTTCCCTTGCTCAAAGGGTTTCAAGCGCCAATCATGGACATGCTTGGTTGTCAACTTGGAGTTGATGGGAGGTCCATTGAAAAGCTCCTCCTCAATCATCACTCCCATGCTCTTCAAACGTTCAATCTCGACCTTGTCAGCCAAGTCATCCACCCATGACGGAGGTTGTGGTGGCATGTCATCAACTGCATGATCACTCCACAATTCCATGGGCATTTGATCAACCTTCACTTGATCTTCATCCCACCATGGGTCTGCAGCATCAAACTCATTCTCAACCTGCAGATCAGCATCATAGTCATCCATGGTGTAAAACTCGTCATTGGCCACCTTGACACTCCTGATCATGCTGGAGTATTCAGCTGACAAACGTTCAATTCTTTGGCGTTTCTGTTCTGCTGTTCTGGCTTTCTTGGATTCATGATCATCTGGAACATCATCGTGTG